GCAGTGCAACCCCTCACCTCTCTGGATGCTTTTGGCAGGCAGTGGTGGGGGCTCAGAGGGGGAGCTGTTGGAGGCTGGGCTTCGACACAGGAAGTCAATGTTCTCGTAGGTCTTATTGGAGATGCTGGTGTTGGTATAGCTCCAGCGGGTCGGAGGTGGCCCAGAAGGTATGGTGGAGCGCAGAGACCTCTGTAATGGGCTGACCTGGCAAAACAAGCACAGAGTAAAAGGACGGAGTCGCTAAGGAGGACCCCATTTAAAAACGTTACTGTAGCTGTTTGCTCACCCCTGGGTGACTCGAGAGTATTTAGGAACTGTAAAAAAATAAAACAGCTTTTTATTAAGAAACAAATAAATTTGTAAATATTATTTGTAAATATACCCTGTAAATAAGCTTGGTAAGATGGCACAACTGTACATTTGGTGCAGATGACAGGTGTTCAACAAGAGGAGGCATATGTTCTTCCACCAGAAGGCTCAAACACAAGAATTTGAATTTACATACTGAATAAACATAATAACAGCAAAGTCTGTGCAAACCAAGTCCTGTTTTTCAGCCTTTTTTATTCAACCTTTAATTGAACTATATTTCAAAATGCATTCATAAGCAAATTGCAGCTTTCAAGGAGGTCATCTGAGGAGAGGAATTAGCACTCAACCAACTGCTGTGTTTCAGAAGAGCCCAGTTCACATGGATTGCCGTGGTGTGAAGAACAGAAGTCTTGCAGGATTAGTCATGTTTGGGAACAATGGCTGGTTGATTCACAGCCCTAGCGTCCGGGGCTCAGTTCCTGTGTGGGCCTACTGAAGAAGGAAATGGGCTCTTGTCTGCTGTCCCCAGCCCAGTCAGGATTAACCCTGATGCCACCCTGTCCTGTGCTCATATTTGAGTCAGGAGTGTTATACTGTAGGTATATATTACAGGAGTTTTTGACACAAAAAAATTCTCACCTGTATGGACATTGTCAACAACTTACTAAGAGCTGTTTAGACAGTACTATATATCGGAAAGGGAAACAACAAGCATTTCAGGGACAATATTTGGGGACTCCTCACCATAGTAAGCAAGAAACAAGCCAAAATACCGTCCATCCACTTTCACTCCGCTTTTCCTTGTGAGGGTCGCGGTTCCATGGATGTTAACCCGTTATGCCTTCCGGCATGTAGGGGCAGCAACATCCTGTTGCTGTTTCCATAACATTCGTTTTTTATGGGACAGGGTTGTTGGCCTGGGACATGGGACACGGACCCACTACCCTGAGATTATGAGTCTCATGCTCTACCAACGGAGCTAGTCGGGGGCCACTTAAGAGACCGCTGAGATTAAAACAAAATACAAGACATAGTCCAAGAGAAACACAGAGTAGAGAAAGTGTGGTTTAGGGTTGTAGTTTGTAATGAGCCCACTTAGTTTTGGGGTCACCTCGGGGTGCAATCGCCTGTTGGCCATGTATAACAGGAGCTGTGTCTTACCCTCTCATCCAGCTCATCCTCACTGTCGTACATGTACTCCTGCTGCGTTTCCCAGATGTATTCCACGTGGATCTGGGAGTTGAATTTCCCCGCCTGGGCCAGCTCCAGCTGGGACAAATACAGAGGGCAGAAGCAACGTCATGATGGCAGTAAACCCATCAGGGCCTACTAGCCTCCTGACCTCTGACAGTCAGGCGTCATTGTGAAAGAAATCACCCGGTAGGCCTCTATAACACAACAAAGAAAGTTTGAGTTTGATGCTGCTTTTAATCAATCCTCTTTGTGACCAGACTTCTTAAAGAGCAGATCTATGAACTCTTACGGACATCTAGGTTCTGATTTTCTACAGGCACCTTTCACAATTTGTCTCAGTTTCCCCACATGCTGGCATAGGGTTCACTTTACGTAAGGATGTTCTGAGATAGCACCATTATTCTAAACTTGCCCCTTAAACTAAACTAATCCAAAGTGCAAATTAATCAATAATAAGCCCTTGTTAGACTGATACAGTATTACATTGTGCAACAGATAATTCACTCTTCCTGTCCCTGGTAAGACAGGACGATCACCAAGTTTCACGCCACCCACGCTACCCTGATTTTCGACATCATTTCTTCCACTACTGTGTCGATGTCACAGTTTCTAATTCTTTGCAAGATACCGTCAGGCTTCCTTTTTTAGCACAGAATTGTTTTCTTTACCAAAGAAATGGCTTGCAAATTCGAGGTCCAGTGGTGGATTCATAGCAAATGTTAAAAAATAAAAAGCAATAAACTGCACTCATTCTACTACTTATTGTGTTTTATAAAGAATGTTGGAATATATTGTGGTGTGCAGTAGTTATGTCCCTCTCAGTGAAGTAGCATTCACTTGTGCTTCTTACCAATTCCACGCACTGTGTGTGGTGAAGTCTCTTTGCTATGTCCAATGCTGTCTCCCCGGCGCTGTTAACTACAGAAGTGAGTAGAGAAAAAATGTGAAGGTACCCATAGACCCCAACTTTTCAAAATAATTGGCAGGGCTTGTAACAAACTCATATTAACCAAGCATTTATATGCTGCCACCTCTTGCCTTAACACACAAAAAAATAAAATATTTTCTGATATTCACTAACCCCAAGAATGTGTTAAGGAAGACGTGTTGTTTTGCACTTCTCTTCTGCTAAATAGCTTTAAAGCTATTTAAAGTCTTCAATGTCTAGTAAAATGGAATATCCATGATTACGTGGCAACAAAACCTTTTATGTTCGTTATAGAAGCTTCATGATGATGATCAGATTGGTTTTGCTTTTAAACCTTTACTATTACACTTTGCCTTCCTTCTAATCCCTTCTTCAACAACACAGGCTCCTCTGCAGTGTTGCCTCTGGCGTCAAATTAATTGCACATACTGGAGTTTGTGGGGTTTATTCTCTGTAGTGCCAGTTTTCCGAATTTATTTAGTTCATCCATTTCTGAAACATAACTTCTGTAACGTTCATTTGTTGGCAGGGACCAGCCCTGATCCCTTTTCAGCTGCCCATTATTCACTGATAAGTCGATAAATCATCATTAATTAATTTGATAAATTAACTGAATCTGAATTAATAGACAGTTGAATTGACTACAAAGTTCAAGACAAGAGAATGGTTATTTAGCCTTGTGTATGCTCAATCCCTTGGTATGCAGTCAAAATTCATCTCTGGGGGTGCTCAAGCCAAGTCCCCAAAACCAGGCGTCCATTTCCTGTCATTAACTATGACGTCGAACAGGAGAAGGCAGATTATGAGGCAGGCTTTGTGATGAGACCTCACAACAAGCAATGCCAGCCTGTAGTATCTGTTCCTATTTTGTTATGCTATGGACAGGAATGCTCAGACCAGATGAGTACTGTCAGCTGGTCTATTTCCAGTCACATGCACATCTGGTAAGAATATGAAAAAAAAAAATGTTGTCAAAGCTATAGTGACTGAAAAACAAGAAACAGAACTGTGATACACAGCCACGCTTTTAAACCACAGCTAGTGCTGGGGGTGTGGGGGGAGGGAGGAATATTGCAAGTAATTTAAAGGGTATATTTAGGGAGAAAAGGCTGTTTGAGTTTAATTTAAGTACTGTAATTTAAGAAGGAAGCAGAATTAGGGTGGGTTATCTAGAGTAAGTCTTGTACTCTGATTTGCGTTACAGGGATGAGCTCAGACTTTGAACTTCAACCGCACCTGTCCATCAACAGAAAGCCACTTATTCTTGCCAGCTGTCGCAGTAACACCAGCCCTATCTCAGAAACACAGGAAAAGCCGGGACCACACTGTGGACAAGATGCATGTACATCACAGGATGCACACACAAACCCACCCACGTAAGCACAATCCAGGGACGTCATCTAACCTATTGTCGTTGATTACCGGGAGGAAACTGGAGCACCTGGAGATACCCCACATGGATATGGGGGAGAACATGCAGACTCCCCCACAGAAGGTGCCCCAGTCTGTAATCAAACCCAGGACTCAAGAACTGTGAGGCAGCAATGCTAACCACCATGCCAAATTTAACCTGATCTTTAAGACAATCCAGTAACACTTACCAGACTTCATAGAATTTAAAACAATCTCTAGCTCAAATCTTAACTTTGTCTGCACTAGAATGAATGATTTCCATCTTCACTGTAAGGTAGCATTGTATTCTTTAAGCATGAATTTGATTTTGTGATTTTGTGCAGCTGTAGGAAATTCTAATGGAGAATGCAGTATCTTCTTACCGGTGCTTAATGTTGCCTTTCCTTTCAGCAGCAGTTTGAGGCACTCAGTCTTGTTATACAGGCAGCTGTAATGCAGTGCAGTGTTGCCTTCTGAGATCTTTTTCTCCAGGCACCCACTGGGCAGAAAGGTAAAACAGGAAGCGTTGACACACTGCATGGCCATAATCAGTACTGTACTTTCACTTACTGTACGATATTCCAGCACTGGCTGTTTTCCCTAACACACAAATCAATGCAACCTGTGAGCTCAAGTCCCTGGAGTGGACACTCCAGTTGACACTGCACTGACAGGAGGGTGATCCAAGCTGGCAGGCAATAACTGGAGATCCAGCCAATCAGGATACACAGACCTAGCCACCTACTAACCATTCAGACAATCCCAGAGGAATTAATTACAGCTCTAAGAGGTACTTGCTGGCTGGCCACGGACTCAAAATGTTGATCACACTGCTACTTCTGAGCCTTTCAGTTGAGATAAATGATTCTATAACAGTCTAATTTGACATTTTTAGCAAAAACAATTTAAATTTGCTAGACACAATGTTTGACAAACTGTTTTTATCAACACAACTCTAAAAGGAATATAATGTAAAAAATTAGAAACAAGAAAAGGACTGATTTATTTGATTGACTTTACAAATCATGTTTACAATTAAGACACTGATCATTAAGTTAACGGCACTGGTGGAGATTTAAGGCCTTCACAAATAACAGTTCTGCCATCAAGTTTTTGGGAAGTAGTTTGAAGATAAAGATCAACTCATAGATGAAGGAAAATGTCCAGTGAAAATGTCCAGTTTGCGAAGGGACTGCTCCACCCAGTTGCTGTAATGTAATGGACTAGACAAGCCCAAATGTTGCATTTCGTCTTTCTATTCTCCAGCATGGAATTAACCTTAACTTGTTCCTTTGTAGCCCACGCACAGATCCCCGCTCAAACTTCGTGTAATGAACTATAGTTTCCCCAACCAGGAGCTCTGTTCTATCAGTTTGCGCACCACTACAGAAAGGGTGCAGTCCAACCCTAGTAGTGACATAAGCCCATGAAGAATTTAACATAATTCAGTTATTTAGTTTGCTGTAAGAGAGAGCTACAGTGTCAGGCCATTACATCCACATAATTTACTTTTTAATTCTGTATTTTCCTGCCATATTCTGCAGTCATTTAGGAAGGAAAAAAAAAGAGGGTTGGTGAATGTAGAAATGGATCCAGGCACCCGAAATTATTCAGGTCAGCTGGAAACATCACCTGGTGGTGAGGAGACGGGTGATGGGATTTCACAGAGCTGCTGACCTGTTTTGTGCGAGAAAGTCCACCAGAGCCAGAGAGCTCTTCTCAGCCACCCTCACTGCCAGGTGAAGAGCTGTCTCGCCAAGATCCTGCAAGAGCAGAAGAGAAAAGCCAATTACCTTCACTGTACACAAGTACTCTGCAAAGCCACATTTTCACCTAGGACCCGTCCTGTTGCTTAGATCTTCCCTCCATCGAGTCCTGAATCGAAGGAAACACATTCTTAACCAGATCCTTGTAATTGTTTCTACCTAACAACTATTTTTTTAAAGAACCTGACTATATAAATGAAAAGGTCACTTAAGACTAGGGAACTGAATGTTCAGCTTAGTTAGAACCAAAACTAGCAGACAAAGGAGTCTTCCTGTACCCAAAGAGATTATTACCCTGCACTCTTAACACCTGAGAGACTGCAAAAGCAGATTTGCTGAGATCCAAACTGCCCGACATCAGTCAGAGAGACTGAAAGACACTGTGGTCTTTTAACCACACTCTGGGTGTGGTACTCTGGCAGGGACTAAAAGACTGGTAGCATGGTCAGCTTTAAACCCCTGAGAGCCTCAGAGCTTCAGAGACAGAAGTGAATACCAGGTTAGAACTGCGGCCCAACTGATGTGGTGACACTGTTTGAGACTGTGGCCTGGGAGACAGAGTGGTTTAGCAATGTCTGGTTTCCAAGACGAGACATCTTTGGACAGTTTTCCAGGCACATGTGTATAGCAAATTGTACCATGCATGAGCAAGAGAGATTCCCTGGCTTCTGTTTTCCAGCAAAGTCATGATTTCCTGGCACATTGGACTGTCCAGGTGTTCAAGCAGACAAGGCACTGATTCAGAAGGCAGGCTGAAACCAATTACAAGCCTTGATGTCTCTTATTGACATTGAATATGAAGCTTTGCACAACTGTGCAAGTGCTGCAGGAGTTGAGTTGGTTGGGGTCTCCTCACCTTGTAGGACACCTGTGAGCTCACAGAGCCATCAGTGAGCAATGCAACTTTCCTGATGGGTACTATGGAGCTCACACAATTGGTATAGTCCTCACTCTTTGTTGCTACAGTTACAGTGGCAAATCAAGACCATTAAAATTAGCCGATTTCAAATAAGGGAATAAAGAAAGAAAAACAAATGGCAATTCTATTTTTAATTTGGACTGTCAAATTGTTCCATTTGGTCTAACAGCTACAGTTATTTCAGCAAACACCCTGCATAGAAGCTGAAGTAAGAGCATTTTGCTAGGTAAACCTTCATATTTACACAGTTTACTGCACAGAGTAGAGTCTTCAAGGAGTACAGCATCTTCTGGCTTTCATTCAACCCAAGGTCTTAAACACACAAGATTGTTGATTAAACCAGTCTCATCTTGTTTCCAGCTCTCCAGATATTGGTAGTTTAAAAGCAGCTTTATGTGGTTTCTGGCTCTCAGGAATCATTATGTTCGAAACACAAGCCTACTGCTTGTAGATCAGGCATAAGGCCATCAGTGAGGCAGAGGCTGCAGTTGAGAGTTTCAACAGCTGTTTGGCCAAAGATGACGTTTGGCGTTTCTATAAGCTTGAGAGGTCCGTGTTCTTTGGCGGCTGCGTGTCCAGATGGCAGTAAACACATGTGCAAGCCAGCAGGGGGTCTTTAACGGATGTGCTCTGTTTGTTTGACTGTTGTAGAGTGAGACGGACCCCTGCAATTGGAGTCCTGAGCAGTCAAGCCGCACATCTGCGCAGCCCTGGAGCGCTCCCAGGCTAGACTGCTGGCCGGTTTCTAACGGCGCTGAACGAAAGGGTCATGGACACCGGTGCCACAGTCAAATGAGAGACCTGCGTTTGCGAAAACTGACAGACAGAGGCTGTGATGTCTACCATGGGAGGATTTAAGAGAAACTAGAACAGTCTAGTGAATGTGCTGCCACTAAAGCCTGCCTATAAAAATAAATTGATTGTTGTACAATTGAATGTTTAGACTTACCTTGAAACCCAATCATTGATTTTAAAACATTAACATCCTCAAAAAAGCAAAAGATTTACCGTGGCCAAGTTTATGTAAAGCTGTTATTTTATTCTCTAAAGATGTCATATATTGAGACCTTACAGCAATATTTTCATCACTTCTTTATATGTTTTTGGGCCACGATTTTAAATACCATAAAAGCAGTAAAACGGGTTAAAAATGAAGGAATTGCTGAGCACGTACAACACGTTGGCTATAAAACATGGGATTGTAGCCAAGCTCCATGGACTTAAATTAACAATTGCTCCCCCTCAGTTTCTACACTTAAAACTAAGAGTTCTCAAAAGCTTGTGCTCGTGGTCATACAGGAAACTCTGCATAGTCAAATTCCATGATGACCAAATCTGTAGCTGACAAGGGCCAATTGCAGTTGTTTTTTAGAAGATAGCTTTAGAGCTTAAACCAAATGAATAGCATATTGGAATTACCATTAGCACTGCTGACTCACAGTTGTGGGTCCTGGGTTTGACTGCAATCTATTTAAGAGCCCCCATCATTTTGGGATCATTAATTATTTATTCATTAAGTGCACCTTTTAAACGCTTACATCAGTACACAAAAAATTAGAGGCTTGTCCAGAAACATGCACTGCAAAATTACCGGGGTTTTTTTCTCACTGTAAGCAGGATCACTGTAGATTTGCTGCAGCTCTCAAAGACAATCACATTGACATCTCACAGTTGCAGGGCATGCTGCCAGTGGCAGGCTTAAGGTAACCCACCCGACATTGACCCCCAAACCCCAAAAGTTTTGAGCCAGTTGTGGTTCATCCCTTTGAGGAATCCCAATTACAACAACGGAGCCCAAACCACAAAAGACGAAGACAAAGCCCAATTTCCATTCAAGCAAAGGTGTTTATTGCCTGAGCCTCTGAAGTTCTAGATCCCATCCGTAACACAAAGATATTCCTACTCAAATACTTCACTGACCTGTCCCTCTGGGATGGTCACTGGTTTGGTCAGGTCTTCTCCTTCTGCATATATCTGGAGCAGCGTGGTGATGTCTCTGCTTTTAATGGCATCGTACAGCCGGTAGGAGTCCTCATCACCGCTTCTCTGAACATACCGCCTTTCTGCATACTTAGCTACGATATACTCCTTTCTGGCATTCCTGTAACAGATAAGATACTGCTGTTAAAAAATGAACTGCAGCCCAAGACATTTATTTTGCTAAGAAATCAATTAAACAATTAGAATCATATCACAGAGCAACCATTGTTTAATCATCTGGATAAACCTCCTGTCTGCAATGGTAAACTGTTCATGCATGAGCAAAACTCATTTTAATCTCCAGAAGCAATACACTTACATGTCACTGTTAGGAAGAGGTTTCACAGAATCACTGGGTAATCCTGCCTCCATGATATCATTAAACCTTGTGTTTCCGATGCTCACAGCAAGCTGCAAAACAGAGCCTCATGGTAAATGTGCAACACCTAGCCTTTGAACAGAATACTCCACAATCCACCTTGGGACAGGTGCCAAGGGGGCAGCTGACCTACCAGCAGCTCAGAGGTGCTGAGCATGTCCAGAGTGAGGGACTGGATCCTGGAGTAGTGCACTCCCAGCTCCCGGTGAATTCCAGAGCACTCGATGCAGGTTAGGATCCCAAGATTGGTGGATAACCATGTGGGATCTGCAGATCAAGGAGTCAGGGCCAGTCAGTGAGTTTACAACAAAGAGGACTCCATTTTCCTTGGCTCGCTGCTTACACACAAGTCAAAAGAAGGAGCTGAAGACTCTTCCAGCACTATTAGGCTGTCAAAATTCTATTCACATGCAGATCTGTAGTGATATTCACTCAGGTGGATCCAAAGTAAAAACATCTGAGGAGAAGATAAAAGCCATGTGATCTGTTAACAGCCATACGGAACAGAACCACTCTTCCAATGACTTCATAGCAATAACAGGTCTCCTTAAGGCCATGTCAGCCTGGCCTGGGAGCACCTGTGATTCCCTCACTGCCTGCCTTCCAATCAACAACTGGACAGTGTGCTGAAGAAAATCGGAATGAGGTCATAAGTAATATGAGGTCACCTGATTGAGACCACAAGGGCCTGTGGCTTCAAGCTACTGCTCTAGTGAAGTAAGGGCTGTCATGATCACCATCGGTCTTGTCAAGTCCCAATAGGACCATTTTCCTTTCAACTAGCAGCTCCTAACACTGGGCGTGGTCACCTGTGACCGATGCTCACATGCAAATATCTGTTTAGCATTTGCAAGGTTGTGATACTTGATATTTCCCGCATATGTCTTGTAACTGTAATTTAAATGCCTACAGTTTTGATGTGAAAAAAATCAGATGTCCACCATTTAACATCTCATCCCAATTTATACAAAACCCTAGATGATTAGTTTTTTATTTTAAATCATTTGGCCAATGTCTTTATACACTCTTTTACAGGTGTACCCGTTTATACAGCCAGGTACTCTACAGAAGCAAGCTGTGCAAATTATCTTACACAGTCATGTCCCCATCTGGAGACTGGATCCCATGACGTCCGTAATACGAGCCCTTAACCACCTCCTCAACCTACTGCTACATATACTACGAATTTGCATGACTTGCTAGCAATGAACACCCAAGTGTTGATTACGAACGCAAACGGAGAATGGAGAGCAACACCCACCCACAACAATAGTGAATAATTTAGTGCAATACTAAATAAAACAGTACTTAATAAAATTCAATGTTGCAGTCAGCTCTGATGGGGGTCGGGTCACTGAACTACAGTGATTTAAACAACTTCCTGGCACTTCAATTGGTGTTCATAGCGACAGTGGTCAAGTCCAAACCCCGTCCGGGACGCAACAGCACCACCTACTGGTGGGGCTTTGAAGTGCGCGTACCTGGCGCTCCACAGTCGCAGCACACCTCGTTGCCCGGCATGTGGCGCACCTCGGTGATGATGGCCCGCGCCAGCTCCTGCAGGCTGCTGTCCTTGAACTGGCTCTGGTCTCCCCTGAACGCAGCGTTGAGGGCCTCTTCCTTGCTGTTCTGCAGCACCGACACCCATCTGCGGTAAGACGTACGCAGCCACCTCGTGAACGCTCACTTCTGTCTCTGCTCCCCGAGCGTCTCGCGCTCTGAGGTGAAGCGATACTAATACCGCAGTCCCATCCAACTAGGAACTTGGAAAAACCTTACTTGGTTTTAACCCATACTGTTTTTGTTAGGGATTACTCATAATAAAGGTCCATTAAACTGTCAAATCTACCAGGAAGGCAATAAATTTAACCAGCTCACTTCCATGTCATTTTTGGGAATTCCTGTGACCTTTTTCAAAGCGTTCTGACTTTCCTCTCTGCTTCCCACCCTCTCTCTTTTCAAAAAGAAAGGAGTGGCACCTTCCCTGAAGCTAAAAAACAGGATTTATGGTACTTTTAAATAAACAGAACTGCAATTCCATTAACCTTGCATATGATCTCTTTTTTCATTACAGGTTTTTCTTCACAACATCAGTATAATTTAGTTTAGCTTTCTTTCCCCCCCCAAGGTTATTGTCCTCCCAAGCAATTGTTTGGCAGAGCCTGAATCGAGGGTTCAGCCTAAGAGGTGTGGACAACAACAAAAAAAATTGATGCATGTGTACAAAGCAGAAAAGAGACAGATCAAACACTGGGTGTTTCTTTAGCGTCCTGCAAAACCTCAAATGTTTGAGCTCAGGAGTAGTGGGAACTGGAGGAGCAGCTGGAGACAGAGGCCCCATCTGCTTCGCATTGAGAAATGAACTCCCCTGGTGTCCCGAGAAACGCCTGACCTCCGCTCGGCCTCCTCCGGCTCCGCCTCAGCTGGAGCCTGGGGCTCGAGTGAAGGGGCTCTCTGCTCCTCACTGCCTGTAGTCTGGAGGAAGAGGAGGCGTCTGGCAAAACACCCTGGCATGTGGGAAGCCGAAAGGATGGGCAGTCTACAAAGGGTTGCTCCCAAGTGAAACATCTACTGTCTCCAGCCAAATCTAAGGTCCTGCTCTGTACCAGGTCTGAACTAAATTTGAAAACTGCAGGAGAAAGGAGACTATAACAATAGTGTTACGCACTACTGCATATGGAAAGTGCTTTCTAATACATCTGGTTTACTTACATCATACATTCTTGTTCATCTTCTGCCTGGAAGTGGTAAGTCCTATTATCTGAAATTCAGAAAGAGAGGAGGAGATGGAAATTAGTTGGTAAATTACTGCTGCAGGCCAGGTTTTCTAACAAAGCCTTGCGTGCAGAAATCAAACCTGCAAAAAGAAACCAAAACTTCTTGCACAAGAACTAACTTGCTGCTCCATACAGCCATTTTCTATCAGTCAGAATCTTCCAGCCCCTAATTGCTCTTTATTTCTGAAGAATTAGAAACGTGAGGGTGGCGGATGGGAGGAATTGTTTACAGAGATTAAATAAATCAAGTTCACTTAAGCCTTTAGAAGGAAATTCAAAGCTGTAACTGCTGTTGTTTTAATGAACCTGCTTTAGGAATTACAGCACAGTCCAAAACCACTGGAGTACCCAGTGCACTGTCTGGCCATGGAATAGCAGTGTTATATCCGTAAACTCAGCAGGAGCCAGTGCTGCAAGGAATTATTCCGGTGTGGCTCCTTGGGATTAACCTTAATGTAAGACAGGTGCTTCACAATCTGATGACTTGCAGGATTTCTATGGCCTTCCACGCTGAAAAATGAGCAACCGGTAGTGCCGTTAATATGTTTATCCAAAAATCTGAGCACATGTGCTTCAAATCAAAACCTGACCTATATAAAGGATTAAACACCGGCTAGCAGGAGAGACTGCCATTCCTGACATACACATTGCTTGGCACACAACATAATTAACAAACAGAAACAAACAATACTGGGCAAACCTCTTACACCCTGCTCTTTTAAAGATGTGCTTGCCATAGCTGCTGAATTCAAAGGAAAAAAAATGAACGTTTTCTTTTGCTTTCTCAAGTCAGCCCCTGTCTTTAATTTCACATAGTCTGGCACTTGAAAGTGCAACCTTGAAAACTGCCCTTATAATGTACAAAACCCAAGCAGAGTAATTCCTTAATATAAATCATTAACACGAGCACACAGAATCCAACTGCTGGCTGCACTGCTCAGATTCGATGGTGTTAACGTACACCGGACTCACTGCTGTAAAAAGTGGCAAAAACATTGTCTGAGAGGTAGTTTCTTGTTTGAGGGACCTATAGCCACTGCAAACAGTGCTGATGATAAATGGCAGCAGTTTTTATGTCAGTGTGATGATTTCTAAAACTAAAGACATATTAGTACACTAGTTAGCCATTGTTCTCTCCACAAACAAATATTCAAACACTCCTTTTCGCCTCGCGTAAAACTTGTCCGCTCGAGAGGCTCAAAACAAGGTGTCCAGCTGCTACCCGTTCTGTCTCGTTTGAGCAGCTGCTGAGGAGTTCCACAAGCCCTGCTGGGACTTACGCGTCACAAGGTCGAAGGTCCTTCTCTCCTCAGGGTTGGGCCTAACCTGGCAGGTCAGAAGGTTCAGCTTGGCGGGGGGCCTGTTGATCTGCGGGATGAAGAGAGACAAATCGGCCCAACGCGACAAACCCAAGAGCGCCGTTCATGAACGACACAGGAAGGCGGCCAGGCTGACGCGTCGGCAGCACCAACTTTGCAACATACGCCCAGGTTTCAAACATGTAAAGTGCGTGGGTAATGTGGGTAACATTTACACATTAATGGTAAAAACACACAGTTATTGGCACACATGCTGGGCAGTACACAGGATAATTACCCAAAACACAGCTTAAATTGCTGTATAACAGTCTGAAACATTACAAGCTTTTTCCTTGGCGCACATCTGTTGCAGTTCTTTGGAAAACGCATTAGGCACCTGCCAAGGCTCCCTGAGTGCAGGGAGACCGCTGGAAGTGTAAACAGATCATTAGCAGAAGGAGAGGCTCAGGAGCAGGAGCCTGCCATACCGTGCTGTGGGATATTGTCAGGCAGCCATATTTGATTCCACATTTCCTCTTCTGCCACACCTTCCTGATCCTGCAGGGCGTGAGAAAAGAACCCAAAAATTGATTTTTAGAAGAGGTGTTTCTAGGCGGCATCACGGTGCACTGGTCTGCATTGCTGCCTCACAGTGCTGGGGCCCTGGATTCAATTCCAGAGTGGTGGGGCTGTCTGTGTGGAGTTTGGATGTTCTCCCTGGGCCTCCACTGGGTGTTCTGATATCCTCCCACACTACAAAGACATGCTGGGAGTTTAACTGGCTTCAGGGAATACTGGTCCTGATGTGAGTGCGTGGCTGTTTGTGCCCTGAGATGGACCCATTACTTGCTGGTATAGGCTCCAACTCCCCCATGGCCCTGCACTAGATAAAGCAGTTGGAAAATGAATGGATGGATAAGTGTTTTGATGTCTTTAATCTTTGACACCACCAGTCTACATTAAATAATGTACGTAAACAGACAAGAGACCCAAAGGTTTAGGCCTCAAAAACCGTTGATCTCAGCACTTAGTCACTTAAAACAACGGCAACAGAATTTGTTTAACCAGTACTTCCTCTATATGTTTAATTCAAAACAGACTTGAAAAAAATCCACCCTCCCCCACCAAAAAAAAAACCCCAACAAAGTGATCTGCAGCTGCATTTGAAAAGTTTGCTACTGCTTTCAAGCAAGACTTTCACCACAGCCTCTGATCATCTTGGAGAAACTAACAAAGCAGCCCCACCCCTGTGATCAGGGGCTTGCTCATTTTCCAGTTTCTTTAATCAGACACAGCTTTACAGCGATTCGGCCCTGTAAAGGCTTAACCACCCCAGAGCCAATGTATTCCCTTCACTCATGGTGAAGGGGGGAAATAAATCTAGGCCGAAAGACCCCTCACCCGTCGCTCTTCTTGAGCAGGAATCCAGATTTCTCCGTGCCATACTGCTTGTTCCCCTGAGGCTGATGAATGCTGTAGCCATTCCCAGAGTTCTTCCTGTTCAAGTGGTCCTGATAAAGGACAGAAACTATGAAGATTAAGCAGAAAAAGAGAAAAATTCCCCACAGGCTCGGCTTTTTCCCCAATATACGATTCTGCTCAGCCATACTTGGGCAAGAGTAATAGTGCTGAGTGACCTGGGCCATAGGTCCAATACACTTCAGGCTGTTCTGGCAGCAGAGAGTGAAGACTTATTCCCTGCAAGGTAGGTCCTGTTTGACATGTCTCTGAAAAAGGTAACGTAGTGGCATCAAAACGCTGTTTGAGGAGTTCAATTTTGCAAGGAGCTGCAGGAGTTAAAAAAAACAACAGAAAAGGGCTTTTCTCTTGCAAACTAAAATGTTTTCTTTTGGTGTGCAGACTTGATCGTTTTATTACAAATAGTATAGTATCCATTTAGGAGCTGGAAATGTAGGGATTGCTGATCATTTATACTGTACAACAGTGTTAACACTGGCAAGAAGAGAGCTGCGGGAATCTGTAAAGTCCCGGGGGATCAGACACTGGACTCACCTCCTTGCCCTCCACCTGCAGGAAGCCCCTCAGAGAGTCCCGGACCTGGGCCAGCTGCTTCATCTCCTCGTCCTGCGCCTGCCGCAGCTGCAGAGCACATCGCACAATGTATAGGACCCACAGCACAACATATAAAACATACAGAACAATGTATAGGACCCACAAGACAACGAATAGAACATATAGCACAATGTATAGAACCTACAGCACAGAGCACATCGCACAATGTATAGGACTCACAGCACAACATATAAAACATACAGAACAATGTATAGGACCCACAAGACAACGAATAGAACATATAGCACAATGTATAGAACATACAACACAGAGCACATCGCACAATGTATAGAACATATAGCACAATGTATAGAACCTACAGTACAGAGCACATCACACAATGTATAGAACATATAGCACAACATACAGAACATATGAGACAATGTATAGAATGCACAGCACAGAGCACATCATACAATGTATAGAACATTTAGTATAATGTATACTCACAGTACAACATACAGAATATTTATCACAATGTGATGAATCTTGAATCTTGAATGTATAGAACATATACAGTAGCACAATGTCTACCCATAGCACAGAGCACATCTCACAATGTATAGAACCATACAACGGAGACCCCAACAAGAGCATACCACACAGCAGAAAGCACAGAGGAATCTGCACCCAGAATGCAACACATAGATGGGGAAAGGTACAAAAGCACAGAGCTATAAAATTCAGTAGGCATAGACAGGGATTTAATCCTCTATGTACACAGATAATCTGTAATAATACAACCATAAAGGCTACACTGAAATACATTTCAGAAACACGTTTCAATGAGGCACCATCTTGAGTTCTTCCTTAGAATAATTTTCATTCAAAACTAGAACATCTTTCCTTTTATCTTTATTACCTATCATATATAAGAATGGACCAGGATATTATATTCCTTGCATTTTTACTTTCTATCTTTTCTCTTTTATGAAGTTACTGAACATTTTTGTACATTTAGCTGTCTCTACTGAATTGTTAGATTGTTTTGTCTATTTTACAATTATTTTGTCTCTCATATGTTCCAGTCCTTTATTTGAGCAGTCAACACCTCATGTGTATGAGTCCCTTAATACTTAATACATTATGGTACTGCTGTCGGGTTGTGATTGATGGACTTGGATCACATGATCTGGGCTTTATAAAGTTTATAAAGGTAACAAGAGAACAAGAGAACAAGAGAACAAGAGAACAAGAGAACAAGAGAACAGCACAAGACAAGACGGCCAGAGGGCATCAAGTGTGCGCAGCAGGGGTGACTTGTCTAACCAAGCAAAAGGCACAAAGTGGGGTACAGCCTGGACAGGATGCCAGTCCATCACAGGTCAGACACACAGAGACACTACACACTACACACTCACATCAGAGCCAAATTTACAGCATGTCTTACATGTCCTACCAGCATGTCTTTCGACTGTGGGGGGAAACCAGAGCAAATGTGCAGTCTGTCACATAATCATTGTCAGGCTTTTACGGTTACAGTGGCCTGACATCATTCTCATAACTCTAAGACGACTGTCTCCAAAGGGACTTGCAAGTTAAAGAATCTCTCTACGTTGCCGTGACTTTGCATAATGTAAATTAAGATTTACCATGTCTTGCCAATCAGAAACAATTTCACAATGCTACACTGCCCTACACTGCAAGGCATACCACAGTAAACACATACTTTTTGGTAATGCATTCCTCGCATGCAAGAAACCCTCGTTTTACTGTATGATAATCTAGAAAGGATCATTTCCAATGTCTTCACACGGAAAATTCAAACCCCTATTAATGCTTCTAAATTCTTTCAGACAGCGAAGATAAATTGAAAAAAAAACGTACTGTATTATGTCTTCCTTTTTAAATCCAGACATTACCATGGTTCGTGTTATGCTAAAAACAGTCACAAAACCTGTCTGTTGAGTGTTCCTCTTTCCTTTCATTTGATAACTATGCAGACAGATTTCAAGAATCTTAATAACTAATTGTCATCATCTTAAAGCCATCAGATACTGTAGGTGTTGCTCATTCTAAACCCAGTGAACCACGCAATTCACAAACATGATCCATCAAGGCGCATCGAAGCAAATTCCCAGTTAATACACTTTTTAAAGAGCTTTCCCAACAGCACAGTTATCTCAACTTTCCAAAGGAGGAACACATCTTGGCAGCTGTACATCAATTCTACCCATGCCCTAAATCATCATGTCCCCGATTTCCACATTCTTCCCTGCAAAGTTATTGCAAACCTCTCCCCACTGTAGGAATCCTGTCTGCAGACGGGTAGGTGCTCTCTAATCTTCTAGTTTGTTCAGAGCCGTTTGTGGTCAACAAGACCTATCAGTACATGCTGACAAGCCAACAAGGCCAGAAGTGAGCCCAAACATTCAGAAGACACCCTCTGAAAAGTGTTCTCTTCACCACAAGGAATGCATCTACAGACCTCTGTCTCCCAGAATCATGACTTCGGCATGGAGCCTCACTGAGGTTCCCAGTTAACACCGGTTTCTGGTTTTCTAGCACTTCAAGATGAGACATTCAGATACGATGAGACCAACATCGAGTCGAAATGTTGAAAAATGCAAATACAAAAATGGATGAATGCAAAGAGAAAAAGGAAAACAAATGTATTGGATCACAAAAAAATGCTGTTTGATTTGCAGTTTAGGCAACTATAATTCCTTTCAACTTGTCATGCTAAGAATAATGAGGTTCAGAGCTGTAGTGTGAGGTTTTTGCTCTCCTACAGATTACAAACTCTAGTCCACTCTTATGTAGGTCAGATCAGCTTAGAAGTTTGGTTTCCCCTAGTCTAAGCTATAAACTGAAACATTTTCAAATTTGAGACGTGGGTAGGTGTTTCTAAAGAAATCTAAAGAAAACTTTTTTAAAAAAGATTTGGTAGATCTCTAATGGGCCCCAAACATTTCTACACTCATTAAGTTTCCCCTGTAAATTATATGAAATCTTCAATTTTCAAATTTAACTTGTGATACAGCCTCTTTAATCCATTCAAAAAGTGTCAAGTGTGTCAAAAAAGTATTTTTATATTGAATTGCTACTTTAACCTTTGATAAATCACCAAGGATACGTGTTCTGAGAGTAAGTGGAATTGAGATATTTAGGTTCCTGAGAGCTTTCCCCACTGTGGAGTCCAGTTTGGCAACTGAGAAGAGTTCTCCCACCCCGCCAAACACAAGGATTTTGAGGAGTCTTCTTGTTTCTTCTTTTAAAACAAACATTAAAGTGTCAACGATCCTGATGATGACAAGTCTGAACAAGTAGTATCATGTCCTCGACACAGCAATATTAGCAGACGATGCCAGTCTGACTCCACTTTTTAATGGTACTGCCTTATTAATAACACAATCACTTGTTTGCTCTTGCCTGCAGAGCCAATATTACAGCCACAAACAACAGACAGAAACAGAGACAGAGATTAAAAAGTTTAAACAAACACAGGTTAGGCACCACAAATTAAATTAGACTGGGCTTATGCAACACCAGACATTTGTAGTCTCTTTGTGCTTTCAGTGAAATAAAACTGATAAGCAAAGTTGGAGTGCCGAGTTGCATCACACTGATGCAGAGGAACAAGTAAAAGTTGATTCCACATTGGAAACTTGAAAAGAAAAAAGCACATTTCTGTGGTCGAGCCTCTTTAGCTTAACAACCAAAACATTGCATCTTTCTGCTTCTCGGCAGGGAATTAACCTTTGCTTGTTCCTATATTACAATCTGCAGTGATTCGTCAGGCCTTGAGATTTAGGTCTCAGGCACAGAGTGAAGACTAAACTTTCTGATACATTAATAGAGTGTGTCTGATGATGCCAGCTCAAGTTGGGAAAAAAACTGGCACCTCCCAGCGTTTCTGTGTGTATTCCTGAGCATACAAAACAAAAGGCTGAATTGCTTCAGACTGCAATTTAAATTTGGGAGTGTACAAGGGCACAATTCAAGGACTCACTGGCTGCTGACATCCTGTGGAATGTACAAAATGTCTGGTTCTGCATTTTACTAGGAGAACTGCCTCCCTGCTCCCATTTTATATTGTCTGCATCTGAGTATGGCAGGAGTTGGATATATTGAAAAAGGCTGCAATAAATGTTTAATAAAGTGAGAAGAGAAAGTGAGATTTCTGGTGACCCCAACACAAAGTTTCTTAATGAGGCCTAAGAGAAACACAGCATGGGACAGAGGTGCATGCTGGGAAATGTACAAATTGCCTTACCGTGTGAACAGAGGCCGCCAGCTTCTCTACGAAAGGATTGAGGTGCTCAGCAGCTTTCAGGCCATCCTGGAAAAAACTGAACACAGAATACTGCACTGAGCCACTAACTGCTTTCGCTGTAATAACCCGAAACAAACAGAGATACAACAATATTAGCACACAGGCATCCACCACGGGTTACTGGAACAAGTCAAACTGTTTAATCCTGAGCTGTTATTTTTTTTTAGTTGCATCTGTGAGGGTAATGCCATTGCAATTTCACAGAAAACTGACAGACATACTGTATATATGTCATTTGTTTGCCCTGCCTCTCCAATCAGTTCACTTACTGGAACTGCCACTTTCTAGAATATGCAGTCAGCAAAGCTAGAGGAGCTGACAAATGGGTCCAGTCTAACGATGGGGTTTATTATAATTAGTGAAGAAACTACAAAAACCAGCCAGAAATCTTGTTCATTTATACTCATATACTTTAATATTCATATAAATAAAAAAATATTTTAAATGAATATAGATTTCTTTTTGCATTTTATGTGTGTTAGATATACATATTTTTATATTTACAGATGCGTTTACCTCTTTAATTTTTGCAGCTCAGTCACTGAATGCCACCTTATTCTTTTTAGAAAATATGCTGGCCACCATGTTTTTAGTTTCGCTTGGTTTGAGGAATCTGAGCCCACAAGAAAGAGTATAGCCCAGTCACAAGACGGCCTCTGTCTTGGCATCCTTGTCAGAGCGGCTGGGATGAGGGAGAATGGGAAACTTCCCTGAGGCAGAGGACACCGAAATGACAATGGAGGGGGGGAAGGATTACCCTCAGCACCGACACTCACTTCAGCTGCGCCTGGAAGTATTTGATGAGACTCTGGAGCAGATCAGGACCCTGCCTGACCTTCAGCTCCTGTGTCTTCAGGAGATACTGGAAGACAGCGAGGAAAAATACATATCAGTGAGACATACAAATCAGATGTGGAATCTCTGGCAAGAGTGGTCTACACCCAAGTGTTTCTAGGACGTCACTGCCCTTTACGCACCATGGAAAATGCTTTTCTCCAGGTTCCATTAGCAGCACCAAGTCTGTAGACTAATAAGGGGGCCAACTAGCTTCAGAAGCACCTCGTGCACTCATTTACATTGTGCACAACTCACTAATGCCTTTGCTTTAAAACTGGAGACCTGTGCTTGTTTTAAATGCAAAGCAGAGCAGATTTCTAGAATACTCATCGGGTCAAAAACTCAAGACTGGCAGTGGTTGGACATTCCACAGGTTTCATATAGTTTCCTGACTAGGCCCACTAACCGCAGAAGGACCTCCACCACAAGGGAATCAATCACGCTAAGTCCTGTAGATGTTAAAACAATAAGCTGTGCAAAAGGGGGAAAAAGGCACAACGATGGCCCAGTTTCAGGGGTTTGGTTTTCAGTTTGGTTCTTTAAGGTTGGCCCAGACATGTCCCCCCCCCCATCACCTCACACATCTGCAGCTGAAAAACACGCCTCTCCTTCTCCATGTCCTCAGCAATCTCGGCCGGAGACACCTCAGTCTTTATAACGCCCAGCTGCTTGGCCTTCTCTCTCCTCTCCTTCTCCAGCTTCGCACTGCGGGGAGAGACGGAAAGCTCAAGCAGCTTGCAAAGCCCGCAGGGACAAAGAAAGCAAGCTGCACTCAGATTCACCTCCGGTCTGCAGGGAAACTGCTGATGTGCTGACGTTAATCTGTACCTCACAAGCCACATGTTATAAAAAACCAAAAGCAGAATCTGGGGTTGTGCCTCTATATGGCCTGCAATTTAAGAAAAACAAAGGTGGAAAGTCCGAGCTGTGTTTTACATTTAAAAAACCAAAACGTGTTTGCACGTGAGCATTGAGCATTGCAGACACAGGTCAATGACAGTGACCTGTGACATGACAGTCTTAAAATAATGATAGGAATCAGGGTGTCTGTTACTGAAAAAGACAAATTTGAATTCAAAAAGCCATCTGAATTCAACTACTCAGTTCCAGCTGGGGTTATCTAATTCCATCCCAAGGCCAAATTCAACTTGTAGGTAGCTGATCAAGGAAACCCTGCAAGAGCCTCACTGGGAAAGCAAGCCCAAGAGTACTCACACTTTCAGGTCATAGTCTTTCCAGCTCTTCTCCATCTGTTTCTTCAGTTCCTGGAAATAAGAGACCGTTTTAGCTCAGCACATGACCAGGCTGGGGCTCTTCTCTGGCAAGAGCTTTGGGGCTATGAATTCAGTCTAAACACATTGATTCTTCAATGAACCTAAGGCACGTGACTGTGGAGCAGGTTCAACTCCAGGCAGAATAGCCTAGCCAGTGAAGTCACTGGTTCTTTGGCTGTAGCTCAAATATGAAGAGTGATGCACAAAAGAGACCTTCTCACCTTAGAAACAATGTCCAAACCTATATGCCCATTTGAGTATCCAGTTATACTATATAATACACTATACATATTTAAGTATACTTGTCCAAGTGTGTACGCATACATACATTACACCTGCTGGAAGCCTGTGGCCTCCGTCCAGGTCTGGACCAACATGGATCTAGTTTTGGAAGTTGATTGTTAAATCAGTTAACCAACATGCCCCTTTAAAAGCAAACTTCGCTATTTGTTAATCCTGTGTCACTTGGTAAGATTAGAACACTCCTATAAATAATGAAAAGGAAGTCCCCATGAAAGAGTGCACATTTCCAACAAAAAAAGACATGTTCATCAATTAATTACATTGTATCACACCTTGACCCAATCAGCTGGGGTATGCGAAAAGACAAATTCCTAATGCAAAAAATTGTATAGGGTTAATAAAGTGATCTCGCTCTCGCTCTCTCAACTTGCTTTAGAAGTTCAGTAGTACAATAAAGCCATAGCAGCCTGGGCAGCCTGAATATGAAGAGAGTACACGTGCAGCAAAACTCTACAGGCACACTGCAGCCAATACAAACACCAGCACTTGAATCATGCAGCCAGACCATCACGGAGTGGGTGAACATTCATGCCACAGACACTATTTCTTGAGAAACCCGAGAAACCTGTTTTAAGGGGATGCCAACTCCACACAACTGTGGTAGGCCTACTGCACTATCCATTCCTGTTACATTAAAAGCTCATATCCAGTTCATAAGAGAGTACAGGGAAACATGCCCAGTGACACTTATTGGGAGTTCCCAAAATTTCACGTAACTAGTCATTTAAGGAAACAGTTGTACCTATTGCAGTCATTTTGTCTGCTGAACCATTAATTACAGTACTGTTCCTAATTATACATTAAAAAGGAATTAAAATAAACCAGTTTGGCCGTGTTTCGCAAACAGAAGGAAAACCACCCAGAATCCTACTGCCAGCTGAGACTCACCTGTCTGGCGTCTCTCAGCTCTCCCTTCAGGATGTTCTCTAGAGGGAAGGAGACGATGTTGCTCAGATTCTGAATCTGGAGGAGAAGAGAACACTGTTCAGCCCACGTGCGTTTTAACAGAGAGGAGACACAACAAGAAAAAAAAAAGAGGGCTTTGACTCACTGAAACCCACCCTGAATTTTCTCTGCAAATCACAAATGAAAACTAATTCCATTTCTCATGACCCAGTTAGCAAAATATTCGAATTGCTGCTGCTGTAGTAAGTAAAAGTAACTGTTAGTAAGGTAATGTGCCAGCTAAATGTATAAATAATGTAGTAATGTAAGAGTTACACTGGGTCCACTTAGTCCTACATAAACTAGGAGCTCTGGCGCAGTATGTCAATCTGGCTACAATTTTGAGACTTTACTTTTTTTAAAATACTGTATGAAAATAAAACTCAAAACCAAACAGCAGGCTAACAAACCCACTACAAGTGCCCTCGCACAGATCCATTAATGGAAGAGATTGTCTTTCTACTGTATGTTACTGGGGGCTAGAAGGTTTCCTTTTGTTTCAGGCAATCTCCTGGTTGAGAGGCTCAGTTAGAAAAGTTCTAGAAACCTCTCCAGAGATATCTCTGAAAAAACAAAATACAGTGCATGCTATAGACAAGTCCTCCTTTTCAAACCCAAGTGCATTTCAAAATCTGTTGCAAAACCACATTTCAATTCCAAATTTCATTTATCGTTATGACAAAGGGTCTATTAAGCAAACGTACAACTTGGCAAACATCTGCCTCTTGTTAAGAACACATGCATATATTATAATGTCAATTTATCAAACCAGTTCAACGTTTTGTCTGCATGTACTGTATACTGGCTCTGTGCAGGGACTAAGGTGGGCCCCATATGTTATTGCAAAATAAGCTGAGACTGCAGAAAAGCAAGATACACATTGGACCAAAGTAAACTGTTCTGAAATTACACCAGTTTTTACACCAAGAATTCCTTCAGCTTTCCAAAGAGGAACCCTTACATTTAGATTTATTTTTAAGCACGGACCATCCACGAGGGATTCTACTACAATGAGGTAAGTTTAATTTTAATTATCTTAAACATTAAACTTGATCTTAATTTCAATTACAATCCTACTGTACTTCTTGTACAATTGCTCAGTACTGCTGGAGCTGTATGTATCTGTAAGACAGATGTCTTTCTAACAGGACTTAAGGTAAAATAAAACTTATGAAAACTTACACTAAAAAAAGTTAGTCAGAGTTGATCTATTTTGAAGTTTGTCTTGTATTTATATTTTCCCTCAGAATACTGTAGAGAATTAGTTCTCGTTAAATATCTTATTGAAAACATTCAGACACTTTTTTTCTTAAGAATGTCCAATAATCTTTTTCCATCTGTGAAATCTGTACCACAATGATTACATGTTGTAACCTGCAAATGAAAAATACTCAGAAAATGAAGAGAAAATGAAGGTAAAACGGAGCATCATAAGTCTATTAACATGCTGCTTCACTATTAGGGTTACACACAGGGAATCTTTGGTTTTAAGATTCCAACCATTTAATATAGAAAATACATAGCTAATCAATTGAAAGTTGACACTTAAAGGGGAGTCAAGGAGGCCAGAATGAAATCTTTCGCTTCAAAAGTGGATTGCAGTCGCTTGGTGTTTTTCTTAAAGATGAATGTCAAAGAGCTGCGAACGTACTTTAGTTCTTAACAACAGGACAGGTATCTCAGCTCCCCGCTCTTTCACAAATCTCTCCACACTCAGGACCTCGACATACAGGCAAGGGACTGAAAAAGCTGCATTGAAGGCATTTCGGATTTGCAAAAACTAAACGGATGATTGAACAAGAGGCCTAAGTGTTGATAGGTCTGATAGTGTTAGGTGATGTCAGGTATCATGCATATCCCCTGTGTTGTCCCTCATGAACCCCAGAAATCTCTGGGTCACAGGGCTGTGGAAAAGGCCAGTAAAGAGTTAATATGTAAAGGGTGGGCCGGGGGGGGGGGGCAGCTTTCATTACCCATGGAGGTCTGGGATAGATTAGTGCTGCTATGGAGATGAGCAGTAGGAGTTTTTTTTTTTACAGAGGGCTGTGGTCTGGAGGCCTCACAAGCAGATGCTGCCCTGCCCCTCTCCCCTCGGAGTGGAGAGTGTGGGTCTGCTGGCCCTCAGGAGAGATAAGCCAGCCCTGCTCACAGCTGGAGAAGAATGTCAGCTTTTCATTCATGAAAAACCAAACCCACAACAGTGATCATTTAGAACCGTGTGGAGCTTGTAAGGCTAAAATAATGTTGGAGCTCTGAGACAGGTTGCACAATGATACCCATTGTGTTTTAATTAACAATGTACAGAATGACTAATACCAGGCTCCCAAAAGTTTGCTTCCTTTTGTGTTTAACTTTTGATTATCTTTGGTTTTTCCCTGAAGTCAGACAACTGACTGAAGGATGATGCAAAGCTGCACATGCATTTCTCTTCACTCGTTTCCTCCCTCGTCTAGAATTTGCGACTTTTGCACGGCCCTTCCTAAATGCATAATCTGGCAGCGTGCACAGGGCATTTTCCCAGCTTTCTGCAAATCCGCCAGCAGCCCCTTTATTTCCCCACAGCAACTCGGAGAGCTTAAAGGAGTAAATCCAGCACAAGGCAACGCTGGTGTGGAAAGCACGTCCTCGTCGCGTTTCTGAAAATCAAATTGGGTTTATCGGACTTCAAAAGGGTAAGAAGTGAAAATCTTCTGACACTGTCATCGGATTTCCAACACTTCCTAAATGGCTTCCATTAATAAATGCCAGGCCTCCAATCAGCATTCAGAGAATCCTAATAAACTCAGCCAAGGAAAAGAGGATCAGGATAATGGAACACTTGCATGGCCTGTGCAGTACTGAAGTCTATCCTTACAAACGTTTAGTGTGTCATAGTAAAAACACCGTCTGTTCAAACTCAGTGAACAGCTGATAAATATTGAATGAATATCATCTTTTGCAAAGCTGGTGTGGACACTGACACGAACAAGAGCCTAGGCTACCAGCCTGACGGGCATGACGCCTCTCACCAGATTCTTGAGCAGTGCCGTGACCTCCCGGGTGAACACAGCCAGGTTGAGGAAGCCGGTGGACACTTCGTTGTTGTCCTGGGACAGGTGGTTATTGCCCAAGTTCTCCAGCACCTCAATGTACTGCTCCTTGCTCTCGACGTGAGCTGTCAGGGGAACAGAAGAGCAGAGGAGCACCTGAGCATTCATTCTCTGAATCAACAACAAGTCACAGGCTGAGGTTTGTGATGTGGATCCACATCCTGGCCGTACCTGAAGTTGGTTGAAGTCACGGAATGTTTTAAAAAAACAGAACACTGCATTGCAAGGCCCCAGAGGAACGTAACTGTTTTCCATTTTCAACTTGAGACGCATCTCTGACTAGTGAGAAAACTGGAACATTCACGTTTTTAATAAACACTGAAAACAATTCATACTTGAGGTGCCTTAGAAGCCTATCTACCTTCTTCCAATGATGTACCATTTTGCTGAATAAAGATGGACTGTAGGCTTTTGAGTGAATATTTGTAATCAAAACATGACTGCTCAAACTGAACACTTCCACAGATGAATGAAGTCAGCAAAAACTGCAGAGAAAAATCTGAAACTAAAAAAGCTGATTGTTTAAGTATTCCATCCATCATGCTTTTCTTTCTGAGGCAATAATCCCTTCATCTGTTTGTCTTTAGCCTCTTTCTCACAGGCCTGATTCCAGACCGCACAATGGCCGGAACCAAGACTACCAGCATAACTCATATAGACTGGAAAGCACAAAGACACAACAAAATGTTTCTATGCTTCACTGCAATAATGGTCACTGCCCCCCCTCAATCCATCCCAGGCCATAAAGGTAACCAACCCAGTCGCTGTGGTAAGAAACGACGACAAAGCCACTCTTTGATACCATCAAATTAAGAGGCACTTTGGGGGAAAAGAAACATCTCTAAAGGAAAATTCAGTTTTCCGTCCAAAACACAAGATCCCGTGGACAAGCTGAGCCTGAGAACTGCTCGTGAAAGGCAGAAATACAAATCAAGAGAAAGCAAGACGGGAGAGTGACTAGAGGAGGAAGAGCAGGATTGCAGGAGACAGGAGAGTGAGGAGAGGAGGAGGAGGAAGAGGAGGGTTGCAGAAACAGGAGAGTGGGGAGGAGGAAGACGAGGGTTGCGGGAGGTGGGAGAGTGAGGAGAGGAGGAGGAAAAGGAGGATTGCAAGAGACCAGCAAGAGCTGAAGTGAGAGAAGAGTGGAGTGCAGGGAAGAGGCCCACCATGGGACAGAGCTCTCCCTCCAGTGTGCGTGTTCATGAGGGGGGCAAAGGACTGAGCTCACCGGAGCAGCCTGCACTCAGACACACGACTGTGTTTAAGAAGAGGAAGCTGGAGGAGGACGTCCTCTTCCATTTGAACACAAACCTCCAGGGTCAATCATGCCTATGTGACGTTTACAAGATGCCAAACCTGGATTACTAAAACAAACACAACAGGGTACCAATGAAGGCAGCCCTACAGAAAAGGTTGGCTCCCCCATGTTTGCACAAGTTTTGCAATTGAGAAAAAGCACTAAGTAGATGCAGAACTGCATTTTTTAATAAATTCATAATGGATAACTTCAAGTCTAATCTGTGATTCAGACAGGCCGATACGGGCTTTTAAGTAATTAAATTGATTCAGTGAAACCTATTGTCTCGTGGTTACAATGACTGTGACATTCCAATATCCCCCCTCACTGTAATGAGTTCAAATGTTAGCCTCTAAATTTTAACTGCTGAGCAAGGAAAGGGTTCAAGATTTTCTGTTCGGCATCATTCACCAAGATAATCTTGCTTTATACAGCCCTGTTTATAAAAATCTAAGTAAACCTGTCACGAACAGGTAGTCCCTTTCAAAAAGGTAATTTTATACACTGATGTACCAAGATCAGCACATTTTCTGATCTACCAACTCTTTTTTAAAAAGACTTACGGAAACAGTCTCGCCAAGACCTGCAAAGTCACATGCGACCAGAGTTACTTTTTTTACTGCTCTCATAAGTGAGTTGGGCTATTTTTTCCATTTTCCTCTTTGAAAATTAATGCATTTTGGAAATCAGCAAAATGTTGCACAACCTGGCTCGCTAGTTACAGCTGAAACTCTGGGAATCTAGCTTTACAAACCACACTCTTGGAATAACAGCCTGTAATCAATGCTCTGAGGGAAAAAAACAATACAGTTTACTGCATCAAACCGGATTTTTAATCCTACTTCATAGAACTGACCAATATCAGAGAGATCAAATGTAATTCCAAATGGTGATTTTTACCTCCTGAGAAAATACAGGGATAACACAACCTTCAAAACATAAGAACAAAAGAAACAAGATGAAATAACATGATCCATCCGCATTGCTTAATTATTAGATGGTTTGTGATTCAATGAGACATTTCCTAAATTTTTCAACTTGCTTTAATAATATGGCTGAGCTGATTATTACAGCCAATGAAGACTCTTTGTGCAAAGCAGTGCCCTATATTTTCTCTCCTTTATGCACATCTTCTTAATTTCCCATTTGTGTCCTCATTTCATTTGCTTTGGAGATACGAGTGTCACCACTAACAGTACAAGACCATTTGGCAGGCAAACATCTGGCAGATTCCATTTCGTGTGGAGAAGTGCAGAATATGTATACACGTAGCAAAAACAAATTATGAATGAGAAACACCAAGCTTGAAGAAGCCATTTGTAAAATAAAAAGACTTTTTAAACACTTTTTAACTAGTAAACATCTTTCAATGAGTGTAACAGATTACCACACCACAATATTGAAGCATAAATGTCTGGGATCTTTCAAAGCCACATAAAATCACTCCATTTAGCCTCTAGCCTGAGTGGAGTCTTCATGCAATTTGTTATGTAGTCCTCATGAGGACTAAGACCTAAGGTGAACAAGTGAACACCAGATAAAGAGAAGCTCTCCACTGAACCACACTCTTTTCTTCACACCAGCGTACTTCACACAAGCCAGTTTGTTGGCATTAAATGCCCAGTCATTCTTCAGCTCTAAGGGGGGGGTAGTGGGTGGTCTGTCTTTGCTGGAGAATGACCTCTAACTTGTGCAGCAACTGTTATTTTAGAAGGTGCACCTGAGTAAACCTGACCTGGAACAGGCACACAAACAAATCCCTTAGCCTTCAGTCAGCTCAGACCAAGCACAAACAAGCCTTAGATAAACAGTAATTATCTCTTATTATGTAAGAAATATCAGACTACTGAATGAGCTGTCTGGGTACATTACACACTAATAATTGATTATTCTGTTTCAATGAAAAGTATAAACATTGGTTTATGTGTATTGAAACGCAGTTATGAAGGCAAGTGCATTTGCCTCAAAGCCACAAAAAAAATGCAGAAAATACCAGTAAAAGTGCTAATGAAGACTGACTGTGTATCGAGGGGATTTGTAACTACAAAGTCTTGTGCATGTGCTTTTATGTGCACTGGATGTTTCTCCCGGTGCAGTCTCTCAGTCCCAGACCAAACGAACATGCCTTAAAGAGACGCACACTCAGTACAGAGCACAAGCCACAGCACAGAGTGGCTCAGTAAGTAAGGGGCTGTTGCTTCCAGTGCAGGTTCAAGTCTAAGGACATGAAGCCGTGAGCTCAAGCATAGCAGACCAGGCCTCTCACTGCTCTAGGCAAAACTAGGGACTTCTACAGCTTCCCTAAATTCCTGCTGGTCTGTGGTGAAGTCCATGAAAGATCGTAGCAAACATGGACCCTGAAGCTTGTCAAAAGACGAAAGGCTCGATTGCAGTGAGCCAAGCTGTGAAGAAAAGTTTGGGTGGGGTCTCATGAGATTTGAGGTGGCCAGTGCAGGCCAAACCAATCAGCATGAGAGAAATGCAAGCGAGTGGCTGGTCAAGTTAATCATTTTTCTTCACTTCCTTAAATGACCATACCACCTGTATCAAGAACCGTACTAACAGATGAAGACTGATTTTTATGTGTTAAATTACTACAAAGTTTAGAACAACAGTGTTGAAAAGGTAGTGACTTACAAAGTCCTGTTGAATGAATGGCCTTGACCATTTTCTTCATCTTCTGAAGGGTACTCTGATCCATTTCCAGTGACTGAAACACAAAAACACAAAAAAACACCATGACTCCCACACTCTGCATCGATTAACTATTTACAACATTCCTACAGACAACACACACCCTCAAAATACACAGAACCCACGGTGTACCCTTGGCAGGTCCACACCTCAACACAGACAGATTCCAAAAGAGATATTAGACAAGTGCTGCAGTCTTTTCCTTCCTCATTCTTATGCATGTGTAATAGGGAACTGAAGTCTAATGCTAGATGTCTCTATATCTCATAAATGCATTACTATGTGCCTAGCATGTCAAGTTAGAACACAGTCCTGAGCTGTCATGTCAGACACAACTAAGCACCCAACCAACAAAGCACAGACATGTGTCAAACCCTCTATGCTAAAAAAGACTGGCATTGCAAAACATGGGAGTCTGAATGCTCTGGAATGTCATGGGGAACAATGCTACAGTAGACGTCTCGCGTCACATATTAAGAGACCTGGTATATGCATACTCACATCGCTGTAATAATAAACCTCGATACGCAGCAATAAATTAGAAATTACTCTACACCCCTCAGATGTCCTTGCTCTTCCATTTCATATAAACTTTACTTTACTCACATGACTGGACATCTTGGACTCTGGTGTGTTCTATGAAGAACTTTTTTTATACTTTAACCAAATTGTCAGTACTTTTTCACCTTCTTAAAAACTCTATGAAAACTGAGGAATGACTGTCATGATATGCACTCTTACATTTTGCCAATATTCTTGTACTACGTAATGCATCAACTATACCGTTAAAGCTACTGTACTACTATCTGTGCCCTGTATCGTAAAAGTGTTAAGGTTTCATACATTTAAAGGGTTGACTGATCATTTGCTGATGCGCAGCAAATCAAAGAATTTTACACTTAATAATTCAATGAGATTTAGAAGGAACTGAAGGAAAAAAATGTGGCTTGTTAACTTCAGCGCCCCTTAAAACCAACTGTTTAAGAGGCAGAGCAGCAGCAGCTGACAAGAGGAGTGAAGTGACTTGTAGGTTGTTCACCCTCTGAATGACAGACTAGCTTAATGCGTTGCTCCGGCTTTTCCAGTGAGATGGGATGTCTGCGCTTGCTTTCCCTGAAGCACTGGCATCCAGGCACACACATCCCAGAGCGCGGCCCCTGCCCACCGCCTCCATCATCTCGCCACAAGTCGACGACAGGAGAAAAAGGGCAGCGGATGGTCAGGGGTCCAGCAGTCTCTTCCAGCACCACTCTGCGAGCTCATGAAATCATCGGCGCTTAAGAACAAGGGGCTGTATTTATCTCAAGAGGCCCAAAGAGACCGTCATTTCAACACAACAGAAATATGGTGTCCCTGTGATGTTTTGTTTTATTTTTTTACACTCTGTTTATATTTCTGTTCTGAAATAAGACGCCCACTGCACAGCAGTTTGATCCACTTCGGGGCAGAACAACAGTGTGACTAAAGGACAGATTGTTCAAGCGGCCCATCAGTGTCATTTTGCCTATCTCTTGCTGGTCATAGCAGGAATAAACCCCTCTCTTGCACAACCAAGAAAATCTAACTTGCTAGTCTTGGGAGACAGCAGGAAACCAGACCACCTAACAGAAACCCAAGCAAACTCCATACAGACAAGCATCTACAAATAATCGAACCCGGGATCCTGGAGGTTTGAGACCACAGCACTAACCTCCAAACCAATTAATAATCCAGTGATATGACCAGCAGGAGGCACTTGCTTAAATCTGACAGTTTAGGGATTTTTTTTAACTTAACAAATGTTCCTGACATGGGATAGTAATTAAATACCCAGTTCAGTTACCCTGCAGAAAATCCAGAATGGCAGTGTTGATTTTCATCACATTCACAAAGAAAAGAACGAGATCTTATAGATTTGTTATATGTTATAGATTTTCTTTCTATAACAAAACTAGACTAATGTGCAATGAATACTTTTTTTAGAACTGGCTCAGAACTGCACCAATGCCACACACGGCTACCTCAGGGCTGTGGTATCTTGACCTCAAAGAGCTGATCCTGTACCCCCAGGCTCCACACCCAAAGAAAGGTGATAAAATAATTAAGAACTGATTACAGATTACTTAAAAAAAAAATCTTACACTAGAAAGTTTCACAACACAGCTGTATTGAGGAATGCAGAGTCACTTCAGGTAGACATCAAGAGCAAATGTTTTAAACTGTGCCTCTAAGTAAGAGCATGTTTTTAAGAATAGCTCTGTTGCCACACTCCTTCATGTTCACCAAGCGAGTCAAAGTTCTTTCTGCCATCAGGCTCAAATTCCTTCAAGCGTATCTACATACTAGGGATGGTTTTACACAAGCAGCACTGGAGCTGGGGCAGGAATGCACAAAAACATGCTGGCAGAGCCTCTACATGTCACAGTGAGTGGGAAGGGCAGCAATAAGATGAATGAACTCAAGACAAAACTGCCTTGTCAAAATCTGTTAGGTCTCTGAGATCGGGTTTTGGTCATCTAAAAAAAATCCGAGTGTGGTGACAATGAAGTTAAATCACTTGAAATGGCCTCGCTATCCACCCCCCGGTTTGAATCAAAGATCTTGGAGCCTCGTCCTACTCCGTGACTAACGGCAAGCGCTTGTGCGCCCCTTGTGTTGTGATGGAAGCTGGAGGATCGGGCAGCTGGCTGGCCCACCTTCAAGCTGACGAGGCCCGAGGTCGCATTCCAGCCCATGGGCTCCATACCAACGTTTATTCTCTGTCAGCTTTCACCTCATGACACACCGAAAGAGTGGAAAGTGTTAATAAGGCTGTGGAGACACACTCCTCCACAGTGGGTGGCCGGGCACTATGCTCCTACAGCCCGAGTTCAGGACATAGGGGCTTTGAGCCACTCCAAAATCACAGCCTACCAGGGCACAGACACTCTTCTAAGGAGGCAAGAGGTCCTATGCCAAGTGGCACACACAGAAATGAACTCCTGAAAACAGCCCTACAGATGTTCTGCTGCTGCCTAAAATCTAGGAGGATTCACATGGACAACTCCAACAAGATGAGGGAACCTCAAAACCTAAATAGAAACCAATCTCCGCCTTTCTGCAGAGAAAGGGCCAACATTCACGTTTCCCCAACATAAAAGAAAGCTTTGCATGCACTGTGCGTGGTGCCCGTTGCATAAATCTGCCATCTAAGCAGATTCCTGCAAGGTTTATACTAATTAAAATGCTAATAATCCTCCCAAAAACCTCGAATTTCAAGACGGCTCTTAAAATCTTACTTCCTACTCATTTTTAGCACGTTTTTTCACTTGCAATGGCTATTAACAAGGCAAAACAAGACCATCAAAGCCAGCAAACACAGGGTTTCAGACACTGGGACTCTGTCACAGGACAGTGCAGAAAGAACAGTTGAAAATGTAATGGTGCATCTTTACTTATGATTTTTGCCAAAAACATGTTTTGAGTTTTGACAGGCAAACAAAACATGCATCTCTCACATCAAAAACACACAAGATGACAAATGCATTAACAGCAGTATTTATCAGTATGTAATGCAGTAACCACATGACTGAATAATACAAATACTTGCAGCACCCAGTCTGATCTCCAGACTGAAGAATGTAAGCACAAGGTGACAGTGTGCCAAGATCTGAGAAATTAGGAATGCTTACCCAGACAGAAGAAGTAGATTTTTCTAAGGAATTATTTTCATGAGAACTTAAGTCATCCATTTGGTAACCATTTCAACCAATTCAGAGGCTCCCTCCACCATGACCTTCTCAGCAAGCAACAGGCATAAAGCAGGATACACCCTGGATGGGACACCAGTCCCTCATTGTGCACACACATACACACAAGCATCAGGGCAAATTTTCCCAGAAACCAACTAACCTTACAGGCACCCCAGGTCCAGAAATAAATCCCAGGTGCCAGCGCCACAAGGCTGCAACGCTAACCAATGCACCACTAAAAGAAAGTCACGCAAGTGAAAGAAAATATAACTGGGGGGCTCAGCCCATACAGACACTCATTTAGAGTGCAGGATAAACACTCTGGCACATTTCTGGGTCATGACCCTAGGCAACCGCAAACAAGAGTCACCAAGTAGTGCCAAAGGGGTGTAGAAGCTGACAACACAGCAAAGTGGTTATTAGTGGGGCCTGGAGCTTTTCAGCTTCCAGCAAAACTCCAACTCCTGGGACTCCAGGCTGGCAATGATGTCATTGAGAGTGCGCTGCTCCTCCAATCAGCATCAGCTCTCCCAGGAGGCACTGTGGAGGAACAAGAGGGGCGACTAACTGCTGACTGTGTCAGAGGAGTTCGTCTGGAGGTCCTTGTTCCGTCCTGTAGAGCACTGGAGTCGAAGCCGTGAGCCAACTTTTAAAAGAAATGGGAGTACCACATTATGTACATATTTACCACCAAAAATAACTTGCAGTTCTATTTTCAAACATGAAATGTCTGACCAGTATTTGTCATTATTTTGTTCATTACAAGCAAACACCATTCCTGGTCCTTTTTGTCAAGGAATGACACTTGTAAAAGACAAATTGCCAAAGCAGAAATAATCCCTTCTAGTCCTGGAAAATACCAAAAGTTTTAGTTTCAGCTCTCTGTGAACCTGGCATTGCTGTAACATTCCAAAATCCGGAGACGCTCTTAAAGTTTCCAGTCACTAAAATTGCACAGATGCACATAATCTAAATGAACAGATCCAGCGGCTGAGACGTCCACTTGACAATGGCCAGCATGCTGGCAGAGACAAAGAATGAAAGTCTCCAGACTCTCATTTCCTTGTCCGAGAGGATACAAATTTCCTGGAAATACTGTAGAAGTGCCGACTCCTTGCTGCCTCTGAAACCCCAATCTCTTCGAAATCAGAGAAAGAATGAGCACCCTGGGCTGACTTCAAAGAACCTTCGGTACACTTCTCAGATTGCACTTAAGTGCTTTTTTAGGCAGTACCATTGCAGGACTTTGACTCAGCTTTTATTTTAATTACTTCGCTGCTGCTGTTTGCCGAAAACCACTCAATGAAATAATGAAGAGCTGGCACATAGACCTGCAGTCACTGCATGGAACAAAACTGAAAAATCTGCATTCACTTCCAATCTGGAATATTGGAACAGTATATGATAACGTTCTTGATGGCCTAATTCAGCTCCTTGTTCATTTAATGACCAATTCATCAACTCCTCGTGACAACCTCTGGTTATTATGTATTACAGTAAGTTTCTAATGTACTGCCTATGTTTGATGCTACTGTCTGTTGTTCCGTGCTGTCGGCTGTACTGCGATTGTCTTGAAAGAGTGGCGCAAATAAGAATTTCAATGTACATGTACATATGGCAAAAAATGCCTTCACTACTAAAACTCTACTAGAATCAGGTGCTGGCACCTTACAAAGACCTAAAAAGCCTGCAGACACACTGAAGCACTAGGAACCAGGACTGGAGACCCCTACAAACAACAGATCTGTATCTTTACACCAGCCACGATGGAAAGAAGCATCAGTCTAAGGCTGGGTTCTTCTCTGGGATGTTGTGCCCCCTTGATTTTCATTTCTCAATGATGTGTTACTCTAAAGAGTAGTAAAGGAGGACAAATGGAACACCATATATATTTTTCACAGTGTGGATCGCAATGCAAGCAACTCCACCACATCACATTTCTCTCATTTTTGCAGTTCATTGCACAATGTGGGGGACAACTTTTTTCCTCCTATCATTTATTGGTACACATCTAATCAGGAAACACAAGTTGTGTGCTTTCAGGACTTGGCTCCTGGGATGCAAAGCCTGCAAGCGCACACAGGAGACCTTCTGACCCGCCCACCTCCCACTGCCCACTTTCCTTTCAACAGGTCTCAGGCACCACAGCCCTGCACTGGAGGCTCAGCCCCAGTATCCTTCACCAACATCACCCAGGTAACATCTTGGAAAGCTGCAGGTGGCTAGTGTATTCCTGGGAGCCTGCCAAGTAATCCCAAGCCTAGCACTTCGGAAACCCCAGTCCCAAATGAAGATATGACCCGTATTCAAACCCATGATGCTTGAATCATAGAGCTCAGCATGCATTTGACTCTAATGGCAGAGACATTCAAGAACAACTGGAGTTTCTACAATAAAGTTGCCTTCAGGGGATTCTCCACTGAGATACCAAAAGAGCATCATGCACCGTATTTGTGCACGACTGATGAGAGAAAATTGATTCTTGATGCCTCCTGCCCTGCCTGTTTCTGCCTCTGCTAAAAAAAAAAAACATGCAGTTAAACAAAGTGCAATAAGGTTTTTTTTACACCCCTTCTATTTCCTGTAGGTTGTCTGTCAGGCTAAAGCAGACCTGGTAATTGAAGAGGCAAACCAAACAAAGGCAGCACCATAACAAGCTGATAGAATAAAACAGACAAGATTGCCCAGTTTGACATAAAACCAGAAGGGTGATGCTCTTGACTCAGGCACCCGTCACTTGCTTGAACCTTTCTAGCCTCGAACACAGAAGACTACGAGGAATTTGGAATTCGATACAAGTATTCCAAACCCTCGACGACCTCATCCGAGCAGGCTTCTTTCCAAAGAACATCGAAATACAAACCAGAGATCACAAGTGGAAACTAGAGGGAAGGGCATGTAAAATTGAAAACAGGACACAAGATACCAGCAACGTCCCTGAAGCCGATACCCTGGCACCCAGGCTTCTTTCAAGAAATGACAAGAAGAAATCTTCATGTGAATCAGATAACAAGTGGGCAAGACGGGCTTGATGACCTCCTCTTGTTTGTTACCGCAATAGGAGGACTTTTTCAGAAGCTAAGGAAGAAATGAAGCATCCTCAGTCTGCTTAGATGTAGGACAACAGTACTGTAACCCAGCTAAGCATAAGGAATGACAGTGAAAACGACAGCCGCTGGATCTGTTTGGGCCCGTTCAGAGGTGTGCCCGTGACAGCAGTTCCTTCCGTTATAATAGCAGTCGAAAGAATCGCCATGACGTGCAACGGTCTCTCCACCTGTGACACCCTCAGAACCTACACCAGCACCCATCTTCCCAAATAGAAACACAAGACCAGAAACTGGAGTAAGTCAGTCATGTAAACAGTCGCTCTGAATGACAGGGGTCTCTCTGCTCGGTGTCCTCAATTTATCTAAGCACATACGTCCAGTTTTGGGCTCAAAGCTGGAGGCGTTTTGCACTCTGGAACAGGGGGAGGCTGATTGTTATTGGTGGTTATGATAATAATGCTAAACTCTGTAAAACGGTTTTGCCAAACACCTGCAAAGGCACATACTGTACAGGAAAATTGCACATTACCTCTGGAATGAGGAGTGATTTGGTAACAAAATAAAAAAATATATATATAAGAGTTGCTCGGAGAGTGATTGCTGTGGTTTGCGGGTAGAGAACAGTCTACAAGACCAAGACAAATGTTGAGAGAGAGTGTGTTTTGGGGTGCAGTAAATCTCTCTCGTTCACCCGCCGCCAAGGCTCAACGCTGTCACGCTGTTTCTCAGTGTACTTTCGCCTGGTCTTACAAACCTCAAAGCGCTCAGAAACCCGAGTACGAGTCGCTTACAGCCTCCCCACTTCACATATCAGCTTACTGGCAGATCAGAAACTTGGTGCCACCTAAGAAGTACGAGGAACTCCCACCCAACACACAAAGCACAAAAGCAAAAAACAGGTTTTATGCTACAAAGCATATCGTGAGCCTGTGTGAGACTTAAATGGAAATATGACTTATTTTTTATATGCTGGATGCACAGCCTTTTATTATCCGTCTCAGCAAAAACAAGAAAACAGAGAAGTGACTGCAACTGACCTAAAAGGAAAGTTGCAAAACCAGTTCTCCCGTACCAGTCAGGATCAATCCTTGCACTGTTCTCTCCAGGTCCAGCGGCGCTATCCTGTTTGTTTAAGCTCTCACAGGTAAACAAATCCTAATTGAGCCCCTTACCTCTTCCAGGGCGGCCACGGTGGTCCTGCAGTCGCTCACTTTGTAAGGGAAGGTGGAGAGAGACGGAGAGGCGATATCCTCATTCGTTAAGTTAACAAACTCTGCGACGCTAATTAGCTCCGGCATTTTCCTTTTTTTAATGATTTTTTTTTGGCTGATCCGAAAAGAAGGTATGTCGTAAAAATATAAATTAAAAATAAATAAAATGTACTGCTGCGGAATCTTCCTAACTCCGACACCCCCCGGATTTCACGTCCAGCGCTCGTCCCGTCATGATCCACAACAGCTGCCGTGTCGGAGCGGAGCTCGGATTCAAGCTGTACCGTGTGCGGGGCAGCCTGCCTACCCTCTCAGAGCAGCCCAGAGCTGGGAGGGAGTTGCTTCTCGATCACGTGGGAATGTTTTCACTCCGGTCTTGGGGAATTTTGTTTCAGTGCAGCTCGTTTTCTCTGTAAAGGAGGAACGGTCGTGGTGCGAGTGTCACCGTGTCTCTGAGCGATTTACAACCTCAATCCCAGTGGTTCGGGTCATGAGTTGTAACTCCGGACAGATCAGTGAATTCCTAGGCAACAACGGTGTAGTAACTTGCTACTTTATTTTATTTAAAAAAAAAATCCTAATGAGTGATAAGAAAGTGTAGGCTCCAGAATTTAAAATACTATTCAAACGAAATAGCCAGAAAAAAAAGAAAAAACCCTAGAAAAAGGGAAGTGGACGAATACGAGCATTTTTTCTATTATTCCGTTATTGTGAATCCTCCCTCACAGTTACAATGAATACTAATTAAATAATAGTTTTGGTGTCTATTTTCATTTACATGTATGTATAATTTTACATATTTTAACTTTGTAAAATATATTAGTTTAAAATGAAAAAAACTATTTTAAAATAGTTTAAAATCTATGAATTCTCAAATGCAAGGCATTTCTCAACACCAGGAGTTTCTATAACTATTATAATTATCTTCATCCTGCACTTAGGGCATCATATGAAACCCTGTTTTTTCCTGGGACACTGTTTGCATCACTGCACGGTGTGAGCAACCTCCAACTGCTCCCCTGTGACTCACTCTGGCCTCTCTGGGAATAAACAGATCCCCCTGTGACTCATCATGGCCTCTCTGGGAAATAAACAGATCTCCTGAGCCAGCCGGGCTTTCACCTGTGTAAGCAATCCTCTTGATAAAAACCGCATGGACTTTGGGTGACCGACTCCGCAGAGCACAGCTGAGACTCTTTTCTTCTCCAGCCTCAAACACTGCAGCACAATCAATTAACAGAGTGATTGTGATCATAAAAACTTTATACCTCCCCTCCCAAAGGGACTAAGGAAGAGACAGGGCATTGCTGTTCAAACCTCCAAACAGCAGGAAATCACCTGTGCCACAGGTCCTTAATTCTGCACCTGGAGGACCAGCGTGTGTCTTACCATCTCAACCAGCTTATAGTTTACTTCATTGGAACAATTTACTAACTTCTCCCAGCTCCTCAGGGCTTAATGCTTGCAAGCAGAGGTTCCAAGTCCTGGTCCTAGGGTGCCACACAACCACTGGTTTTCACTGTAGCTCCTTTACTTAATGGAACCAGCAGGTTGTTTGGTTAGAACTCTTACAATGTTTTTTTTCTACCTAAAATTGCCATTGGCCCTTACCAATCATGGCTTCCTAATAATTCCCATCTATGAATCAGCTTCATCACTCTGTTCTCCTCCCCACTGAGAACTGGTGTGGGGGTAAGCATTCTGGCCCACTATGGCTGCCATCACATCACAGATGGGGCTGCACATTGGCGGTGGTGGAGGGGGGTCCCCATTACCTGTAAAGCATTTTGAGTGAAGTGTCCAGAAAAGTGTTAAATAACTGTAAGGAATTATTATTATTATATCATGTCAGTCCGATAATATGTCAGTGCACCAGGTACACATTTTCTTTATCATAACTTTATGAATGTGTTGCAGTTTCTTTTGATACTCAGCATATTAGTAGCACTACTGTAATACGCTCTAATTAGTACTCTGTTAATACTCTAAGCCAATGTCATCAATATACTCCATATACTCCTCCATATGGCTATCACATTTACAAGTGATGCTAAAGTTGTAAATTCAGAACTGAGAAGAGAAGACTGTTTGATTGTTACTGGTGGTTATGATAATAATGCTAAACTCTGTAAAAAGGGTTTGTAAGTATTTTCCAAACACCTGCAAAGGCATATACAGGAAAATCGCACATTTCCTCTGGAATGAGGGATGAACTGGTAACAAAATCATAAAAAAGAACAAAAATACTGCAGTTGCTAGGAGAGTGATTGCTGTGGTTTGCGGGTGGAGAACAGTCTACAAGACCAAGACAAATGTTTAGAGAGAGAGAGGGCAGAGAAGACGCTTCTTTTTACAGAAGGGTTGCAGAGCACACTGCGGCGTCATGTTCTGAATGCTGACTCACTGGGATGAACAGACAAGGCCTTGCTGAGCAATCGTGGATCAGGTTACTAATAATCCTGAATGCATGATGGGCCAAAGAGACTCCTTCCACCTTTTCACCACAATTGCATTCTCTTCTTTCCTTTTCTGAGAATGTTTCTTTCCGTAGTTCTCCCTGCTATCACCATTTATCACGGCAGTTGCCAAGCCAGCTTGCTCACAATGCCTTTTATTATCGAAGAGAACCCCCCCTCGGTTCTGCTCCTTTGTGTTGCGCTTCAGCTCTGTTGTCGGCCGGCCTGCATTCAGGCCAACATGCTGGCCTAAAAAAAAGAGGCAGAGGAGAGAAAAGAGACCATTTAGGCAACATTTACAGTCGTTCTTTGTCCTGTTGTGTATACACAACTCACATGACTCATTTGCTTTCCTCCCTTCCTCCCACCTGAGAGACTTTCTCCCAGCCACCAATCAGCAGGGACAAGAGCCTGGGTTTCAGGTTGCAGCGGTTAGTCAGAACAGGGCCACTCTGAGGCTTTCCAGTAAAAGTTAGTGGGGCAGAGAATTTTCCCGGCAGAACTGTCCTGGATTTATTCAAGCTGTTGACACGGCCTCAGAGAGAACTACACCACCCAGCGAGCTTGTAGTGAGACGAAATGTGGATGTTAGTCAACATTACTACTGGTATAGCAGTGACCAGGTGCTTCTTTGCTTTTTTTTTGTTTGGAGTATGTATATAACTACTTATTAAAGCCAAGGATCAACAGTTGACAATTGCCATTAAGGTTCCGTAATCTTACAATAATTGTGCACTAACAAAAGGAATGAGAATAATTTCACGTTAATATATTTGTATGTAGAATGATATTTTGAACTCTTCATTTTGCAGTCCCTTTCTTCTCTAGTTTTCTAACTATTCCACTGAATTACCATGCATGAGGATGGGAGATTGCATCACGTGTTCTCTTAGTAAGATCCAGGGAATGTTTGACACTATCCATATTTTTTTCATTCACTCTGGAAATCAGCCAAGAGCCTGCATTCTTTTCCAACCGCCCGTTTTATAAAGTCATCCCATAACTCACAGAATGATTTCCGTGGCATACTGGTGCAAGAATTCACTGTAAGTTAATTATTGCAGGGGAGTTGCACAGAAGGGACGGACTTTACAAATCTGTATGCTACATTCCGAGATTCTTCTGTGTTTTTTTATTTAAATTCTCTCTTCACACAGTTAACATGGGTGCTTTGTCTAATACTGAGTTCTAGGCACAGGACAGTGTCTTGTGGAACAGTAATAAATAAGATTCCTCTAACGTGACAGAAGTGCTGCTCAAGTTTTCCACTCCTCTGTGCAACCTGTACTTTTTTATTTCCAAAATGTAATACATCTTAAAGTCCCAAACTTCCACTAGGAAAACAAGAAAATCCAGACTGTATGCCCTTGTAGGGTTAATTCATGGCCTACAGAGCATACCAGACAGATCATTGAAAAGAACTGTGTCGGACAACAGGAAATACAGTGGAACTGATTCAGGTACTAAAAACCCTAAAAATCAATCAAGGGAACTGCTGCATAGTCATTTGTGAATCAGACAAGCAGAAGTTAAGTGGACGGGCATTTGGGAACGTAATCAGAAGGTAGGCCTTTACAGAAAGGGTGGTGGGTGCCTTTAACAAGCTGCCCAGCCATGCTGTTCCAACAGATTCCCCGGGATTCATCAAGAAAACAGACAGGATCTTCAGATCAACAACCGACAAGCAATCAAAACAAGCAAGATGGGATTTTCTCGCCTGTCCTAAACACAGTTCCCACATCAGTTAAGACAGCCCCGGTCCACCAATTTCATCTCTGAAATATGGACATTTCAAATTGTCAACATTGTTTCAGATTTAGCTGTATAAATGATTGGCATGATTGGCAGTCCAGTTGGGCATTTCATTTCATCCAGCAGTCATTTCTGTGGCTTCAACCACTAGGAAAGACATCAAATGTACCCAATGTTTCTAGAACACAAGAATGATTTACCATTAATTAAACATTCTGTCCTACTGTGTCTTAAAGCACAACCAGGTTTTAAAGGCCAGTAACAAGTTCACTTTAACCACTTAATTGATTAGGTAATGCAAGTCATTTGAAATAAATGCAGGGTCTCCCAGCCTGAAGCCTTCAAGTGAACTCCTAATGAGTTTTCTTGTTAATAAGAAAGGATGGCTTTGAAGGACTTGTGTTTTATGTGAAAAGGAGCAATGTGTTAAGTTCGACATCTTTTTCCCCATTTTATTGTTTGCAGAGTGGCTAACAGACACAGGTATCCTGGAGGGCTGTGTCAGCTCTTGTTACACAGCAATGTCTTGCAAACCCTGATAACTCAACGATAAAAGGTAACTCTCCACAATCAGAGATGTCCTCTTTCTTCTCCATCAGAGTGGTTCAGCCCTGGAAAAACGTGTCAAAAGAATCCCAAAATAATCAGCACCGTAAAAAACTTGCAAAGTCTGTTAAACATGTCCATGTTACTATTAGAAACGGACAGTTAAGGAATGAAAATGCATAAGCCGTCCAGGACCCTCCTAAGTTAGAAGATAACAGAAGAAGCAGCTAAAAGAGAAGACCTCCGGTCCATTCACATGCTGGTCTTTGGTAAAAACCAGATACTCAGTTGTATCACATTATAACTTTCCAGCTGATCAAACACTTGAAGAGAAGCTTCTGCTTCACTCCTACAATTGCATTCAGTGGAAGGCTTGATTGTCACCTGGAGCACGTTGCTTGCTAGGATAGGCTCCGGCTTCCCTGCGACCCTGTATTGGACAAAGCGGTTAAAAATCTCTGTACCCCAGAACAATTCATTAACTCTGATCAATGTTTCAGTAAACACCAGCTGTCATCAGGTTCTGATCTGGCGAAACACAAAATAGGTGACTCATTGCGACGTCTTTGTATACAGGCAGACTTTTTGACGTCACTGAACAAAGGGGAAAAAAAAATCCTGAATGATTTTGGACGAACAAGTCTCTTGTAGTTACTCCTGCTATGGTATTGCGCCAGGACACCAGACTGGCACCCTCTTTGTGTACACAGCCCGCATTGTGAAGAGTGTTTCTACTAAGCAGTTATGACGTTTTTTTATTTCTTGAATCCCCTGATAGTGACTCCCAAGGACAAAATAGGCTTGCAAAAAAATCACTTCCTGTCGATTTGATCAAACAAATAAATTTGTTTAACTCTGAGGTGTTACAGTTCTTGGTCATAAGCATTAAAAAAACAGTGGTGTTACAGGTTGCTCCTTTGGAGAGCTGTCGAGATAACGTTTGCTGCAAAATAAATTAAAACATCTGTTGCCTTCTCCCACAAACCTGTGGGGTACTGCCGAAGTCACATGCCTGCGATACGAACGCACTATTTCCACATTCACAATTCTTAAACGCGGGCTCCTCACCAAAGGGAAGTGTTTGTCTTTGCGTGTGTGATTCCTGTGCCAAGGACATGCACATATTCTACAGCAGAAACGCTCACAGAGTTTGGGTGGTGCTGCCAAATGAGACAGTTCGGAGTTTTTTTTTTATTTGGCAAAGCTACTTATTAAACATAATTGTGCTCCACACCCTGGGTGCGAACTCACAGACTCCTTCCTTCCCTGCTAAAAACAAACGGCGGGAAGACCGTATGTTCGCTGCAGATATTCCTGTTCCTGGTGCCAGTCAGGACTCTTTTCTCTCCTTCGTTGCGCTGGTCTTTCCAGAAGTGTCTGACATGCCTCGGCTCGTCTTCGAGCCTGGCTGCGCGCCTCTTGCGCTTCGATGACAATTGAATCCCCAAAGACGGGAAAAGATCAAGGACAGGAAATAAAAATACAGGCTGCAAATGCTTTGAGTGTGTGACTTTTTTCCCCCCAAAATCACCTTTGTGGGATGAAGATGAAAACCAGTGTGCGGACGACTGTGCACTAGCTGCATACGAACTCCTGGCTCCAGTGGTTACGGACACTTTCGTCCTCCTGACTCCATCAGCTAGTGTTGTAAAAACTGGTTTGCAACCTCTCCGGGCGCACCTAAACTGTATCCAAGGAGCAACGGCTCGACAGCTGGTCCCAGTTTTAGGCGTCAATTTAAAGAAGCCTCTTTTCCCCACTTAGGGTCTGCATTAAGAGTGTTCTTCCTCTTTTGTGCACAAACAGCTGTGCGTTTGTGGGGGGAGGAATCTTAATAAGCAGTACATTCCTGTGTTGCTTCCCACCAGCAACCAAATAAAAAAAAAATACTGCACACAGAAACACAACTTTAGGAACTTTGAACAAAGCTTAGAATCTTTGGCACACAATTGATAAAGCCTAAGCAACAAAGCCCCTTTGTATTACTATGGAAGTAGTAATGAAGACCACTTGCTGAGGGTTTGAATTTCCAACACAGTCTAGATTTGGCAAAGAAAACTTTCAAGTTCTGGTAATAAAACACATTCAATACTGGACACGATCATCAACAGGTGGGGCTAAGAATGCTTCCCAGTCAAGACAGGAGGGACTGTTTTCTATGGATTTGAACTATCAGGATTCCGCACAGTGTGACATCAGTTTCCAGGGAAAAGCTTTAGTCATGCTCCTTTTGCAGGACAACTGACAAACTTTTTGGCTTTAACACTGCCGAACACCGAAAGAAAGAACTTTCCAGAAAGAGCTGCCTGTTCAGGTACATATTCTAAATCCCTTTAGGGGGCCTTTCTTGAAGAGATCTGAAAGCAGTTCTAGCCGTGTCAAATGGCGGAAAAATAAAGAACTGGACAAGCAGGTTACCCAATACCCTATACGACACTTTGGTCGTAAGGTGCTTTACAGAGTCCCAGTTCCACAAAGCACCTTAAAATCCAGAACTAAACGGACAATATCCAGGGCATTACAAAACAGGTGTATCCGACAGCTAGCAATATGGGGAATGTTAAGATGGTTTTCTTCTTTTATGGAAAAAAAAGAAAAGCTCAATATCCTACAATAAGTTGCCTTCCAAAACAGAATTGGTCCAGTCTGGCACACCAGGTCCACAGAAAGAGATCTTTATGCTGTTCTGACATAGTTTAATTTAAGACCTCGCAGAACCGCTGTATTTCCACTGGTAATGTCTCAGGAACCTCCTCTAACTTGGAGCACATGATGTGGCCCAGTAGGACAGCGACAAGAGCCAATAACATTTGAAACTGCAGAACAGAAGCCAAACCCCCATCCCAAAAAGCAGACATTTCTCTCGAAGAAATGAAAGAGGTGGACTCCCATTGATGAAAGGGATAAAATTGAACTCTACCACCTTACTGAAGCCTTTCAGCTACTCTTTATCGGAAAAAAAAAAGCTCAATATCTTGTCAACTCCATCCTGCAAATAAACCAACGGTACGAATACTTTCACTGAGTGCCGTTGTTATCCAAAGCAGCCTACCGAGGCCGAGGGCGTTTTGTTTGACAAACGGCTGCTCCAGGGAATCACCAGCATGGGGATCTCCTGTTGACGTCTCATCCAGAGGGTCAGTAACCAGTTCAGAAAGCTAGCCCAGTGCACTCAAAGCCTTCAGAACCACATCTTCATTCTTACCACTGGACCCATCTTCTCGTGTTCCGACTGCTGTCAGGGCTTCGGAAAGCCGTGAAAGAAAAAGGAGGCTTCCGCTATCATCTCTGCCGCCAGAACATCTTCTGTAGCAGAACGCGTTTAGATCCGGGGTGTGTACATGTTTATAGAACTATACTGCAAAGTCTATTATTTGAACAAAACCAGCAGCACCTGGGGTTTTAAACCTCTAACCTGCCTATTCGGAGCGTAAACCCTGGCAACTACTCCACACTGCCACTCAAGTAATTCAAGTGGAAAAGCTCCTCAGTAGACATCCCGGTTCTGTGAAGGAGGACGCAGTGCAATGCTGAGATGATGATTAAGACGATAAAATTAGTGACACGGAAAGGTGGCCCACTAAGTTCCAGTGCAGGAAAAGACTCCACATGTTTCATCATGGCTTCAACGCTTTATTGGAAAATTAAAGACCAAAAAACAAATGCAAAATTTAAGTGCCACACATTGAGTCAACTAAAAAAAAAAAAACTTACTAGTATTACAGTAAGAATACTAGAATATGGCAGTCACAATGATGCAGGAAACTGCACAAAAATAATCCATTTTTTTTATAAATACAATCTGTACAATGTCACAAAAAATGACTCCTACCCAAACATCAATGAAAATCGAGCACTTACAATGCTTACAATACCAACCTCGTCCTATATGCACACACACGCGTTACAACTCCGATGTTTTTGCTCATACAGAAAAGAGATTAAAAAACCACTTATATACAATAGGAAAAAAGTTTTACTAAAACTTCAACATCCACACTCTGGCTGAAGGCTAATGCTTATTCCCTTGTTTCCCCAGCAACAGAGCTCAAATTCCAGAATCTTCCTTCTCCCTCCATGAGCACACGGAAGGCTGGGAACCAGCCATCGCTTGTGCAAGCGGAATACAGAGTCGAGGAAGAAAATTGCGAAAATTGCTCGGATCAGACCTCGAAGAGGACGTCTCTGAGCTCTGGGGCCGGGCCAAAAAACTTGAACACAGGCTGCACAATGTGGTTGAGACAGGCGGGACAAGGACTCATTTATTCCTCAGTACGAGGAACCTAAGGTTTTACTTTACCACAAGAGCCCTCCTGCCCCAGTATCAAACAATTTGATACTGTTCAACTCCTGAATATAACTTGGTGACTGGCACCTGGAATGGCTTAAAACGGAGAACTGCTGCCTGACTGCAGGCCAAGACAAGCCTGGAGTTTGACCTCAGTGGCTCCGTGTGGGCCAGTGAGCGACTCCCAAGGCTTTATAACCACAGACCTGAACCAGAGGAGCTTGTTTCACATGGAGGGAAGCATGCCAGCCTGCACACTCAGGTGAGACCCCACACAGCGCTCGCCTTGACATTGCGATTCCAATTCACATAGTAGCTCAATTGAATTAATTACTGGCCCAATTGGAGCAGCTTTCCAAGCTCTTCAGGCGCTGCTGTGTCAGAGCCCTCGGAAACCCAGTGGACTGCGGCCCTGTAGGACTGGAGTTAATCACAACCACAAAGGGAAAAAAAAAACCTTGAAGCTGGGCTCGGCGCGGCCCTTCGTCATCATCTGCCGTCATTTCGACCCACTAGAGGGACAAGTTGCATTGAGACATAACTGATCTTAACTTAATTCAACTCGGTAGTTTGAGTGTTGAGCAAAATGTTTCGATATGGTTTCACACAATGGGCAAAACTTCACTTTTTCACCGCAGCGACAACCACCCAAACTAACAATTTCCATTTTTCGTGCCATTCAATTTACGACTTTCGGTATGGAAAAATACAAACCGAGCAGCTTGATGTATGGAACCTCTTCATAATTCAATTTTAATAAAAAAGTTGCCTTCCAAAACAGAACTGCTCCATTCTGGCACACCAGGTCCACAGAAAGAGGTCTTTATGCTGTTCTGACGTAGTCTAATTTAAGACCTTGCAGAACCGCTGTATTTCCACTGGTAATGTCTCAGGAACCTCCTCTAACTTGGAGCATGTGATGTGGCCCAGTAGGACAGTGACAATAACATTTGAAACTGCAGAACAGAAGCAAAAACTCTGTCCCAAAAAGCAGACATTTCTCTCGAAGATATGAAAGAGGTGGACTCCCGTTGATGAAAGGGATAAAATTCAACTCTACCACCCTACTGAAGCCTTTCTGCATCGAAAAAGAAGGGAGAAGAAATAAACTTGCCACCAGTTTTCCCCGGTTTTAAAGCCTTCCGGTAAATTGAATTTTATGCATCTCTCCAGCAGTTCAGCTCGTCAGTTTATCTGTGGTTTTAACTGAAGGGAGGCTGGAGGACATACATAAAATCAAGGCAGTACAGGGTCACTTCTGGCCTTCAGCTCCAATCAGTGCTCAGAGCCTGGGTCTTCCATACAAACACTGAGCAGAAGATCAGCATCTTTCACCGTCAGCTCCACACTTTTCAAGCTTGTGAGCAACTTGGCTCAGAGGGATCCGCAGCAGAGCAACTGCTCCTGCACATTTTGAAGACATTTTTCAAGCACCAAAACATTAAGACTCAAATCATTAATTGAATTCATTAACATAAGCCATTGAGTGATAAAAGCACTCAGCCCTCTTCTATACTGCATTTTCAACTCATAAAACCCCCCAGATTCACAGAATCGTAGCTTATAAAAACATCAGAATTCGCCACCGAAAGAAAAACACTTTTTACAATTTAAAAAAAGAACAAAATCTGTCTTGAAAAAATAGTTTCAGATTTACCACTCAAAGAGGCAAAACTTCCAGAGTGGTTAATTCTTCAGGTGAAGCCTAGCTGCCAACTACTGTCACAACAGGTGAGCAAGACCTGCTGTGAATCTACACCCTGATAAAAACAAGCAGCTGGCACTGATAGACTCAGCGAAGCACCAAGCATATTCACACCGGTCACCAGTTAAAACCAGCTAGAGGTAGCAGAGCGATAAAGGAGATACCATCCCTCTCTGCAGGCTAGTGAGGTGAAGACAACCCAGTATAATTATAGCACCAACATACTCTCCAAGGAGTTAGAACCAAAGGCTAAGATAATACCATATGGTCAGAAGATGGTTCAAATGGGACCATTGACAAGACTGCAAAGGATAACTGGTCACTCTGCAGCTGATCAGTGCTTTGCAATTCTGGTCAAGCATATCGGCTTTAACTATACTCCTGGGCTTCTAAAATAAATCCTCAGTTGAGAAGACATTTTGCTTAAGGCTGCGTAGTTTAAACAGGGCCTAGAAAGTGCCACCATATAAAGACACTTCTGAATTACGGAGTTCACGTTTTGCATCACTGTTTCACAGCTGAATACAACTCAAAACAAGGCTTGGTGAACAAATTATAAGGCAAAGTTTAACAACCTAGCAGAAAGCTACATATAATGAAAACTGAAATTATAATTCGTGAATGAAAGAGGCATTTCACAGGGCGTTTCATGTTTCTTTTGAAATCGCAGATTGTTGAGGAATTGGATGCATTAGTTACTTTCCAAATAACTGCAGTCAGTCATTTCTTTTTCATGTAACCTGTGGCAATGCGTAAGAGATCCTACTGGACCAGAATTACAGCATTGTGAATTATATCCACCATCTGGCCACAGTGAAAAAACAGTTCCTTATTTATCCTGCCTAACACCAGCACAATATACTTTTCTTTTCAGTAGGTTGTATTCAGGATAATTTGTTAACACTTAGTCTAATAATCAGCAGCTGAAGTCTGTTCTGCAACTCTGATATCTATGTTCAAGCCCAAAATATTAAAGGCAGCTATACACACAAAATAATGGCAGTGGTTCCCTCTTCAGAAAAACCTGTAAAAGTAAATGAAAAAAGGACCACTAGCACAGCCAAACTAACGTCCCCCTCTAGTGGCTGAATGTTTACGCAGATTTAAACAAATCTCCCAAGTCTCACCCAGAGTTACACACAAGAAGGGTTACTAGCATCTGTAAGAAATATTATGTATTTTGTCACCAGAGGATTATAGAATATTATTCAATATTCTATTCGGCGTGACTGTTTCTAAAATATCAAGGTCTATTATTCATGTCTCATTTCTACCAGTTGGTACAATTTGACAGAAGTAAAACAAGCTCCTAATGTTTAAAAATGAGAAAATATGTTAGGAAACACACCATAGGAAACTGGAGATCTGAAAGACTTCCGTGATAGCTTGATAAAGCTGGCCAGCCTTGCTCCGAGAGAGAGGGACAGCCCGGCAGATTTATAGATCACCCTTAAACCTGAATTTACAGATTGGAACATAGGCCAACTAAGCATGGAATCTTCTGCAATAGAGGTGCAAACCACATAGTGTATAAGTACTAATATACACTGGAATATTAACTTCATAATGTGTTATTTTAACCAAAACAATTCAAACAGGAAATATTTCTGGGCAGAGCTACCCTGGACTATCAATAACCAAACTGCTCAGAGAGTGAGTCCTCATCACTAGTTTTTTGGGTCCTACCAGCACCATGATTTCACGAATTATCAAGAACGGTCATGAATCATCATGAACTGCGAGATCTGTGCCAACATCAGAGCTGGTTTACACCACAGTCAGGACAACCCCGAGACAGACCTGTGCCAGCTCTGCAGCAGTTCAAGCCTTGGGGTGCTGAAGGCACATCTGGTCACTTTTACAGGGTCCCAAGCTCCCCAATATCAGGGTAAAAGTCTACGTGAGGCTTTAATATGACAAAACATATTTCAATAAGGTGCTTGAACCTCTGCTTAGGCAGAGAAACTTAATTCCCTACAGCAGCAGGACTGGAAGGATTTACCGTACATGGCAGCAGGACTGGAATAGACACAGTAAACTAAACGTGCAAAATATCCAGTCCACACTACCACAGAACCCCTGGGCTACCAGCTCTTTAATTGCCATCATTAACCCAGAAAGCCAATTAAATCATTCAGGTGTTAATCAAAGCCGAGTTCTGTAACCAAGAAGACCGAAGAGGTCTAGAGTATGGGTGGAATATGGAACATCCACAAATCAGTGTCAGAAATATCTACTACACCTGAACACTCAAGATACCACCTCAATCTGTAGTTTTGAGGCTACAATTTTTGAAAACGGGTTTAAGGCGAGATATAAAAATCTGCGCGGTGAGGACTGGACTCCCCTCTCTCAGAACTTTAACACCTGGGTTTCACATTAAAAATAATGTCCATTTAAAATGGTGTCTATGGTTTTGTACCTGAAGCCTCTACCCATGGAGAATCTATTTCCCCACTGTCTGCAAACCACAGTAGGCCCCTCAGTGCAGTGCTCAGTGAGCAAGACCGAAACTATCACACACTGATAAAATACCTGCAGCGTCAGAAACATTAGATAAAGCTGCTGTACATCTTCTGTGTCTTGCACAGTACACAAATCCGACAGACTGACGGTCAGCTACATGCAGATTTTAGGTTTAAGACCTGGAGTTGTTTTCTGACAATTTTAAAAACCAACCATGGCTACTCATCTGAACACACAGTCATCGCGTAGCATCAAAAAAGGTTTGGATTCGGCAACCAAAAACTTTCAGAAATCCACAATCTTCAGTATCCTGCAGAGAAAGTGGATCCGTAAAAACATTTTCACAAAGTGCTCTTCAAGCACAGTACATTACATACAGGCAGATAAAACATCCTAGAACAACTCTTGACAATTTCCCCAAAGCAACAACAATAAAACATATGGCTTAAAAAATTCCATCATACAGTGGCTTATTAGTCCATTTCATTCGCTTGGGGTTTAATTGCAGAGAATTAGGGGTACAACCTAGGATGGGTTAGGAGAAATCAGACCCTTAGTGTGAAAGGACTGCACCCTGCTTTTTAACTCCTGAGTTCTGGGAATGGAGGCATACCTGTAAGAACCTACAAATAAAAAAAGAAGATCCCTTCATCTACAAATGAATCTTTGTATCAGCACAGAAGGGTGCACCACTGAAGATCAACTCAACTTAAGCATTCCAAAATGTCCCATTGGAATATTCTCAGATTCCTGCTTGCTGGATTCAGAAAACACACTGCGATCCCAGCAACTCATTCAGACTGCTGGCAAGGGACAAGGTCTCCTCTCAGTTTCTGAAAGCCCGATACTCAAGACCAACACTGCTGGGACAAGTAACCTGTTAAAAAGTACACAGAATCCATGATGCACAGGAATCAGGCGGAATTAGTTTTGCTGATGGAAAGAGTTCTCAAGTAATCAGAAAAAAAAAAGCCCTCACCATTAAGGTAAGGTTTATATGGGAAATAATTTTAAAGCAATTCTGTTAGGCAAATGGCTACTCAAATCGTATTTGAGCACCCAGAGTAGAGTGTCCACATGAGTCTGTATCACTCTGTCCGATACAAATGGACTGGAGAATCAGTGCTGTGACCACAGGAGGAACGTCTCAGGTCACGACGAGAATTTTTGTTTTTTACTTTTCTGGTGTGGGAGGCGAGGAACTTAACTTAATCGGCGATAGTCCAGACACCGACGAGTTCCTATAAGAAGGTGCACACACAAAAAAAAAACACAAAAGGAAAAACTGAATCCTGAATAGAGGGCCAGAGACCTAGGAGATCTGATGTCCTCAGGATCTGCTGCCCTCAAGCAATGCCATTCAGAGAGCCGCTGAGGAAGCCCTCAGCTCTTGAGTAAGTCACCCAGGTCGTAGGTGTTGAAGAAGTCCGAGACCCCCTCCCCATCCTCCAGCCCCCAGAGGTAATCCTCGCTGTCCAGCGGGGGTGAGAAACAGACGAAGGGGGCGCCGTCAGCGGCAAAAGAAGAGGTCGAGGGCAGCTGGTCCTCGGTTATCTGCAACAGGCTCGGGGGCAGACCCAGGAGCCCCTCCACATCCAGAAGCACGCTGGATGCTGGGGAAGGTTTGAGGGTATCTGCGGAGGAAAATACACCCCAGACAGGGGAGAGGAAGGGGTTAAACTCAAGGAGCAGGCCCGTGGGGAGGCCACACTCTGATGTATTCTGGGACACAGCTGCTAAACAGAAGTACAGAACCCCTGCTCAGCTATCCAGGTCTGGCAAATCAACCAACGCTACCTAGCACAGGCAGCGGTTTCGCTTGCTCTGTTTTATGGCTGGGGTTGTATCTCAGAAGGTCTTCATTTGTAGAATGCACAAGAATAAATCAAATTTAACAGCACTGTCTTTAACAAAGATAATGAAGCCTTAACCATGGCCATTACTTTATCTATCCACTTATACCAAACGGTGTCGTGGGGCCATGTGTACCATTACCTATAAAAAAATCCATCTTATTTAAAATTTAGCATCCATGGTGTCCACCTTATCGTATAGGAGCAGCCTGTGCATACTCTGAAAGACAAAACGACTCCAGTGCTCTCTGCTATACCACGTTTTGGTGCTCCATGGTGAATTTGAAGTGCTGTCGTTACACACCCTCAAAGGTTTTTAATATACAACAGGTATAGGGTGATTACCTGGACCTTTAACATTCAATACACTGAGACAGGCAGGAAAGTCTGCAGTTGCCTTTAAACCGCAAGCACCCTCACCACATCTCCCAGGAAAGGAGGAAACCAGCTGGCAGTGCCTGAGCAGAACCGCATACTGTTCCACTAGGTAGCTCATCAAAAACACGGAGGTGCCCTGTGCCTGTGCTGTACGACACAGCAAAATCCAACAGCCCTTTACAGATCACCCTAAATTAGCTTTTTATTTAAAAAGCATTGATCAATTAAGCTAGGAAAACACCAATTTGTTGGAATTGATCTCTAAATTACTTGTTTGCCCCATCACAGTTAAAATGAGAAATTCACTCTGGTGGTTTGATGGAACTGGTAAGGCCTGCCAGAGCTGGAGCTCACCAGGACCAGAACACACATAGATGAAGCAGCTCTCCGTATTTACCCTCCGCAGGCTCCTGTTTCCCAGGGGGGGACTGCGGCGTGGATGGGGTCCAGGGTTCCTCCTCTTTGATGGGTGTGCTGGTCTTGACTGGGCTGCCGTCTTGCAGCTCCTGCTCTGGACACAGGTACACCTCGATGGGGCCGTTCTTGCTCTTCAGGTAGATCTGGAGAGAGCCCTGGAGAAGGACAGACCTGTCACCACCCATGCCACAGCCCTCTCCCAGCCCCTCAGACCAGGCAGGTCTGCAGAGCCTTGTCACATCCGGTGAGGACCGAGAGCCTCACCTGGAGCTTAAACAAACAAAACTTTTCACGATTTAGGCCACAGTGTAAAACAGCTCCCCCAATTCAAAGGGAAAACATTAAGTATTATATCAACTGCATAGAGTACCCCCAACCTGTACACCTAGATTCACATAATTCTTTACTCTTTTATTCACGCTTTTCTGGACACCCAAAGTGCTTTACAGGTAATGTTTAGCAGCCATATCACCCTGCAACTCACAACTGGCAGCCCACTGAAGCTCAGCAGGTGTGAGCCTGGTCAGTACCTGGATGGGAGACCTCCTGGGAAAAACTAAGGCTGCTGCTGGAGGAGGTGTTAGTGGGACCAGCAGGGGGCGCTCACCCTGTGGCACCCACAGTGCACCAGCACGCTCACCACACACCAGCTATCAGTGGGGAGGAGAACAGAGTGATAAGCCAGTTCATAGATGGGGATTGTTAGGAAGTCATGCCTGGTAAAGGCCAGGGGAAACACCGAGACTTTTAATGACAATGGAGAGTCAGGAGCTCAGTTTGACACCTGAACCAAAGGACTGTGCCCTTTTAACAGTACAGTGTCCCCATCGCCATACCGGGCAATAGGACCTTGCCCCATTAACACCTCTTCCAGCAGCAACCTTAGCTTTCCCTTAGAGGTCTCTAGCAAGGAGATCACTAGTCCCATCCAGATCTTGTAGTTGCTAGTAGAAAACTAATTCAATAATCTCACAGAGTTGTTTGTTGAAGGCTCCCAGGTTATTAGTTCCTACATCATAACTCAGGCACCAACACTCCTCTGTGCAACAAAGCACCCAACCAAACACCCTCTACATCCTATAGACTACGCTCCAGGGACAACACTCGAAACTCATACCCCTCTCTCCCCTTGGCTTGTCCACATGAGAATACAAAGTTACTAGGCTGAGCGATAGACAATCCATGACACCTACATCTGTGGACTCTGGGACCTCCAGCTTGGTCTCCGATGGGGCTTTGACAGCGATGACCGTCTGATCCTTCAGGCTGGTGATGGATCGGATGTCTTGATAGGTGACATACCCCAAGGTAGGCAGGAGTTAAGGGAAGCCAAGAGCAAATGGGTCACCTTCAGCAGAATGCACTATTTTACAGAATAGAATCATGGACACATGGGGAGCGCTTGTCTTTGTTATAGTATCCCGAGATCCATACCAGATATTCAATCCTTTTCCCCCAAATCATTAATGAATATTCCCAAACAGACTCTGCCTGGGACCGGTACGGTAAGACGGCAATTTTCCCCAGTACCCTTTCCCCTTTCTTCCGTTACCAGTCCCCCAGCCCACCCCAGCTCAGGAGCAGCTCCTGGCAGAAGGATATCGTTGGTTGTCCTTTTGCTCCGTCAGCTCCTTCAGCTGGGCGCTACTGCTCCGGATAAGGTCATCCAGGGCCTTTTCCGCTTTATCCAGCTCTGCCAGCTCCCTCCGCAGGCCGCGCTGCTTCTCGGGGCCTGCAGGCGAGCCCCCCAGCACGCTCCCGCCCACCCTGAAAAAAATCAAGAAGAAACGGGATCGTAAATCTCCATCACTCGCAAGCCTGAAGACCTAAAACAAACATTTATCCAGCTATCCATTCATAAACCAGCAGTGGGCAACCACCATCAACCTGGCACCAATCTATGCTGCTGGGTTTACGGGACAAAATGGAGTACATTACAACCCCATTTAACAGCTCCAGACCAGGAACTCATCCCGAGTTCAGAGCACTTTGCCTTTCTCCACACAGCTCTGTCTGGGCTGGGATTGCACAAGATTACATTAGAATGGTCACAAACGGGCTATTCAGCCCATCTAGCCTGCTTGGTAGCAAGGAGCTAATTGATCAGATGATCTAATCAAAGAAGCCAGGGTATCGGCTTAGTCCACACGGCCCCCGAGGAATCAAGCACAACGAGACACTTGGTTTGGCTGTAGATTTACACAGGATGCGTTATGGAGAGTATTGCATTTGAACTAAAAATCAGATTCCTTTTCCTTTACATAGGGTTATAGTTATCGTGTGTGTTCTGCAGAACTCCAGCAGCAGCAGCGCTTGAGAATTTCGGCCACTCCTGCCGGAATCCTGCTTGCTGCTCCCAGCCCAGCTGCAGACAGATGCGGGTTCGACGGCCGCCGCGGCGGCCGACCCAGCGGGAAAGCGGCCCAGGCCCAGCGCGGGGGTACTCACACCCACTGGATGTTGTTCTTGGATTTCTTGCGGATGAGCTGCACCCCCTCCAGCACGTTGGTGATGTCGTAGATGCGCCGCTTCTGCACCTCCAGCACCTCGGCCGCCCAGTTCAGGTCCAGCACCCCATCCGCCGACTCGCTCAGGAGCCCCACAAACTTCTTGGTGAGCAGCCCCAGTGAGGTGTCGTACCTGGTGCGCTCGCCGGGGGACTTGGGCGCTGTGAGGCAAGGAGAGAAAGAGAAGAATTGCCTTTGAGGACCTCTTTCTGCCTTTGAATTTTGAAGCATTGGGAAAAATTCAGCGCCATTGTCCATCCATTTTTTAAACTGCCACCATCTTGCACCCATTGCTTGCTGGGATAGGCACCGGCTCCCCCATGACCCTCTATTTAGAAAACGGTTGGAAGATGAATGGATGGATATAGAGGTTTCTAAATGGCCATGCTATACATGAGTACACCAAACATCAATACAATGATAGGTAACACGATATTTAATAAAAACAGAAATTACACCAATATGGGAAATTGCCCAGCTCAAGAGCTGTGATGAAGCCATGCAATCTCTTACAATTTATAGAGCCTCTACAAAAATCCTGATTTTTTTTTTACAAAGTACAATGAGTTAAACTGAAGAAGCCCTACAGACAGCCTACATCAAACCAAGAAATGAGGAGGAGACACTGTAACAAAATCAAATATGTGCCAAGTGAAAGGTTCTAAATCCAGTTCCACATCTGGATTTCCAGCCCTCACTCTGCAGATGAGTCCGAGCCCCACGCCCACACTTCCACCTGTCTCCCGTTCCAGGATCACTCAAATGTTTGAAAAGGAATCCATAAGGTTATGGACAGTAAGCCCAGGAGCCCTAACCTAATCTCCACCCCCTTGTACAGCAGGATCTGTTTAGTTTTTAAACAGATCCTGCTGTACTTTCAATATCAAAACTGAAAGAAGCAGCCACTCTGCCAGTCTTCCACCCACTGTCTGCCAGGGAAGTCTCACTGAGCCCCAGGACTGGACCAAGAACTTCCTGGCCTTCTGCACTTCAGGCAAGGAGGAAAAAAATCAGTGGTTCTGCAGTAACAGTCGCCGATTACTGACCCAGTTCAACCTGCATGAGCAAAACTACTGAGCTTCACACTGGGATTAAAAAACAACAACAGAGAATAGAGATGATAAAGAAAGCTTTAAAGCATCCCCTCTGGGTTAAATGTCCAAGCACAAACCCAGCGCTGTTACCAAACTCTCCCCGATCACTCACTCTTCGGGCTGGGCAGGCGGGGCACAGTCCTGCCCTTTCCTTTGGGGGTGCGCAGGTCTGGCAGATACAGGGGATCATTGCCTTCCAGGTCCAGCTTCCTCTTCGCCTGAGGGAGACAGAACACCCATCACAGTCGGCCCCCCAAAAAACCACAGCCGTCCCCGTGCCCCAGCTCTTCAGCAGAAGCACGACGCGGGCCCACTTTTACAGGTGACAAAGACGTACCGCTTCACAGAGGTGCCACAGAGTGGGTTGGTAATCACCTAGTGACAAACCCAGAGAGCCCCCAGTGCATCTCCATTATGAAACAGAGATCTCACCTCTGGGTTTTACCAAACGGTACACATCATGATCGCCCATCCCCTTTCTCTTCTGCTGCAAATGAATTCCAGTTTGGTCTGCAAGTAAAAAGTATCAAACCTTTAACCAAATAAACCGAGAATACCCATTTCTCTCGCGTATGTTGTCCATCAACCTGGCCAGTTATTTTGCACCGGGTAATCTGCCCTTGTTTTTTGTTTTTGCTTCTCTTTAACACGTGGAGTAATTTCTTTGCGATTCTTTAACACTCTTCCACCACCTCAACCGATTCTCTGGTTCACAACGGCAACGGGCCTCAGACCAGCTCAGCTGGCTGTTCTCTTTGTGGGTTTATAGCCATGGAAAATGAAAAGAACTAGAAAAAAAAAAGTTATTGGCCACTTTTCGGCTTGAAGTCTCAAGTGCCAACCCACCACACACACACTTTCTCACCTTCTTTCAACTAACAATAAAGCCACATCCTTAACCACTTAAAAGCACAGCCTGCGCCTGACATGAGGCGAGTTGCCGTAACTACTTCCCGGCAGGAAGTCGCGTTCCCTTTGACTCGTACAGGGGCCTGAATAGAGCTGAGCCCCTCACACCCCCCCCACCATGAATGTTTCTCAGCACATCACCGCAACTAAGAGAGGCCCCCCCCAACCCCCAACCCCCAACCCAGATTCACCAGACCCCACACCCCGCTTGTCCCGAAACGTGACAAAATAAAGAACACCCCTGCCGCCGTCGGCAACACAGAACTCCGCGATGGGCTACAAAAAGCACAAACCTCAACAAGCCAGGTGGTTTGCACTGGACCGTTTCTTTATAATGAACAGACTGGAGAGCCAGCAGGGGTTTCTCGCTCTCTCTCCCCAGCAGTCGCTGCTCCAGGCCCAGTACGAGCAGGATTAAAACCTGGGATCGCTCCAAGGCACGCCCCAATCCACGCCGGTCCAGGGGCTACGGTTAACACAACCCACAATCCTCCTCCTCTTGATCTCAGCCCCCCCGGGATGAAACCTACACCAAAAATCAGGGCCTCAGGCTTGTTGCCAAGAAACCGGCAGCAGTGCATTTAGTTAACCCTGTTTAGTCGAGTTATTTCCGGAATGTAACTAAAAAAGGGCTCACAGGTAGCCCTGCAGTGGAGGAACTGATGACTGAACTCATCTGCATAGCAAAGGTGATGGAATTCAGCTGGCGGGCAGGTAACTGAATTGAAAGTTTAAAAAAGAATACTGAAGGCAAAAGGTTGTTTGTTTGAATGCAAATATGCACCACAAGCACACTGGAAAGGAGTAAACAAACAGGTATTCCCCAGCCATTAACAGTTTTGGCTTCAGGTAAGGATTAGACAGCAAGGGGGATTAACCACTGTCCTGTAAACTCCATTACAAAAGAAGCATTGGAAATGCCCTTGAATGGATATATACATTCAATGCATGCACATACAGGCATCCAGACATGCTGTAACTACATGAGTGAGGACTGCAGCTATAGGGCATGACTATACCAGCACATCTAACCAATCTGAACAATTTCATCACGCCACAACACCCTCCTTAAAGTACATTGAAACTTAAGGTCCAGACTGTCGGTACAGTGCTTCAACTGTGCAAATCGGAACAAAAGGCCTTAGTCCTGGGAACACATCTTGATCGGAAATTGACCGGTTGGTCTAGGAGGTAAAAAGGCTGCTCTTCCACTACAATCAAGCTGATCGAGTCTGGGTCGAAGAGTTAAAGACCAGCAGCTCACCCTGATGGCTTGTCCCCGTTTAAAAACGTCAGCAGGCGAGAGCCAGCAGCGAGCAGACATGTCAGGAGTGAGCATGCGGCACGGCCCTCCAGAGAGGATCCAGCAGGAGGGAAGAAACGCTTCTTTGTTCCACCCTAGATTCCCAGGCTCCGCTCCGCAGCCACACCTGCTAGCGACATCTGGGGGTTTCCAACAGGTGGGATGAGGGGCCGAGCTGAAGCAACAGCAGGGAGCAGCTTTAGAGCTCCACTTTGGCTCTCTTCAAAAGCCCAGTCATTGCCAAAGTAAGAGAGGCAAAAAAATTGTGAATAGAAGGCGTGGTGGTGGTTTCTGAAGGGAGGGAACAGGTAGGGATAACCAGTTTTGCTTGGTGTGCTGGCTATTCTGTAGATCCCCAGCAAAGTCATATAAAAAGGTAGCAAACAGGCAAACAACAGGGTAAGCCTCCTAACCCAACCCGACAAAACGACAACCTGCTTTAGTTGCGGCTGCATTGAAACTACCCTGTTGCAATACAGACCAGGGCATTTCTCAGAAAAATCAGACTCCTTCCTCCCACACACGCACACAGAGACGGCCGACACAGAAGGGCATAGGAAAAAAAACTCACTAGATCTGCTGACTTCACCATAACCAGTACAGCTTACACCTCTACTGCAAAAACAAAAAAAAGACACCCAAGAACAACTGCAGCTGATGACTTGCAGGAATAAGCAGCTCTTAAACATTCAGACACATTCCATCACCTCCACATGCTGTTCTTGTGCAGTCCAGGCTCAGTGCCACAGCTCCAATAAGATCCTACGAAGAGCAAGAAGATTGTATGCCGGTGGCTTACAATAACACAATCAATTTCTATGTTATTGTGTATTTTGTTCTTAGAAGTACAGGTAGAAATCAAGGGTGGAAAATGCCTCAAGGGCAATACCACTGGATTGGTTTAGGATTTATTAACCCATCCCACTGTTCCTTTCTAAGACCTGAGAGCCAACTGCAATACATTTAAATCTCAATAATTTCAATTTCAATAAGTCTGTGCTGTGCACACCAGCCTTTTAATTTAAGGGTTAGCTTCCTTAAATATTCTTAGGTTTTTTTTTTTACTTTGTTCCAACTTTGTTATAATCAAAATTCTTGTTCTTAGAAACAGGCTCCAATATGACTTTAATGAAGCAACTTAATACTTAACTGAATAATTGCTTTATCTTTAGAAACATTCTCCTGCAAGACTAACTGGAGCCCTGCTCCGGTCTCATCAACCACATCTTTAAAACAACTTATCGTGTGAAACGGCACAGAAGCCACCGAGACGTGCCAGGGAGGCAGGAGAAGCAAGATGAGAGTGGCAGGGACAGGTCAGCGCCACAGGCTGAGAGCTGTGCTCAGTTTCAACACCACTGCCAATTGCTTAATGAGTGATGCATAGCTCGGCCCCAGAACGAGCTGGAGAAACTCGGACCGACGCAGTAACCACAGGAAACAACTGCAGCAGCCCTATCACCCGCCTCCAGTCATTTAGCGCCATTTGCAAGCTGAAAAGTGTCAAATCCGTGCTTATGAAATTAAACAAATGAACTAGAAAAGACGTACTGGTAGATTAATCGGCTTCTGGAAAAAAACGGCCCAGCTGTGAGTGTGTGTGTCTGTCTGCCCTGCAATGGACTGGCATCCCGTCCAGAGTGTACCCCACCTTGCACCCACAGGCTTGCCAAGATAGCGTTTGACTCCCCCAGTAATCCTGTACTGAATAGAACAGAAAATGGATTACGTGTCGAAGCACAAAACGATGATATTCCCTCAAGCCTGTAAAACACATCTACTGTAACACGTGGAGCTCACATCATGAACTTGAACAGAAGCTATGAGGCCAGGCGAAGCTTTACTCAAGGTTAAGGATTGCAGATTTTTCTGGGAACATGGCAGTTTCTGTTTCATCGGGAAAAAAAAAAAAAAAGCAACTCCAACCAACGAAAAAAAAAAAACCCCCTAAAAAAAAAACCAACCGGAATTCCCAACCCGCCAACAAAAGAAACCGCAAGTCCTAAAAAAAAACCGAACCAAAAAACAATAAAACCCCAAAACAACGGTTTTCCACCAACCCTCCTACTGCTCCAGTATCAGACTGTGCACGTGGACACGCCCTTCCCACAATCCTTCACAGAGAAACCTGGGGTCTGTGGGACAATCAGCTCCTTTCAAAGTGCAATCGGTCTGACAGTCTTATCAAATTCCTTGAAAAACCTATGATATCCATCCATCCATTGTGTTACCACTTTATCCAATACAGGGAAGCCAGTCTATCCCAGGAACCAACAGGCTCAAGGCAGGAAACACCCTGGACACGCTTAGGCGCACACGCACACTCTGAGGCAGGAGAGCCAATCACTGTGCCACCCACACCTGTGACACTAGCAAAGAATATACTGCAGGGGTTCTTTCTTGATCGCCATGACACACCTATGAACAGATTAATCTTTTCCCACTGGTCTGCACTTATGAACAGCACAGCCCACTGCTGCTACATCCTAAAGGAGGAGGGCTTTCAGAAGTTCGGCAGGCTGTGACTGGAGAAGTCATCCAGCAACCACATCCGCAAAACGGGCAGGGCGGTCACACTCACACGCGAGCAGCTCTCTCCTTCTCTGAAGGGCACTGGCCGACAGGAGGCCAGGCTAACAAGGGCCAGCCCCGGGATTAGTGAGAAATCCGCTTTGAGCACCAAATCTCTGAGCAAACGACCAGAGCTGGGGATGACAAGACCACGGCACAGGAGAGAAAGGAATGGGATCACCTTCCCACACCAAATATCAAGGAACAGACAGATCCTGAAAATGTATTGGATTTATGTACTAGAATGAAAACAGGTTGTCCACACTTGAGCCTGGGTGCAGGGGGGTGGGGTGTTCAAGATCTCAGCAAATCTGTCACATTAAGCCGACAAGGAGCTGACTGAGCTCGTTTAGAGCCAAGCTGGGATGTGCCAAGATGTCCACCTTGCAGGACTGGGGTTGCTCTTCCCTGATCCAGGGGTGCAACCATCTGGAATTTGTCCAAGAACCTGTGGCTTTAAAGTAAGACTGAGTGATCATGATCCCTCTGTCCTGGTAGGCAAGTCTCTTGAATAATCAGCACTTCCAAGGAAACCCTGAAGAGAACCCATTTATCCAGCAGCCTTTTACTGGAGCAATGATGCTCAAGGCTACCATACCAGTGCCCCATCTGGGATTTAAACCTGCAGCCCTCCCATTAGTGCCGATCACTGTGCCACACTGCTGAACCCCAAACAGCAGCAATACCACATGTACAGCCCAGAGAGCTGCACAAATCGGGGTAGCCCACCTCCAAACATCAATAGCTTTTAGGAGTACAGTGCTTTAGCCACCACTCTGCACTGCCCCAGAATAATAAGGGAGTGTTCCCCACTCTGCATACAAACCTGGGATCTGAACTCCCAATCCTCCAGTTACTGGCCCAGACCCCTGCCCACTGCTGCCCCTTAAAGAAACTTAATTACTATGCAGTTGTGTTGTTCACTGTATTGAGATACTAATCAAAGCACTTACACTTTTATACCTTTACATCACGATTTTTCTAGTAGCACAACGCAGACCTTTATTTTTCAGTGACTTTCCTGCTTGAGAATAGTAATAATCCATGTTCCTGCAAACTACTAATTTTGGCAGTAGCTGTACTAACAAATGCACCATCTCACAGCTGACAAAAAACACAGAAATTTCAGAATAGTCTGTGAAGAGGTCAAGATGCAGTGCTTTCCTCTCAACACAACAACTTAAAAAGACGACCTGTAATAGGAACAAAGCATCACATATTGCTGTGAGTTTGAGCAATTGAGGACCAGAATACTGCACACCTGTGTAGTTCAATGTAAATCCGGCTGGGACAGATGCAATTACTTCCCTGTGCTTCAATCCAATCAAAGGTTAAAAATAATTGCCCTCTCCCCTTCAGGCTTACCCTATACCAGAAAAAATACAGAGCAGGTTTGAGTGACACACTCCTACATTCTCTCATGCAAATCAACTGTTAGTTGATAGGGCAGACATGAGCACCCAAGAAAGTCAAATCAAGTGCTATTTTCATAATGTGGCACCACCAGGTTACGCTGCAAACATCACTTCAACTGACGTGGTGCACCCAGGAAATCTGATGTGCACCACAAAAAGCTGAAGACCATATTTTTGTAGTTCTTGAAAATTTGAAGTGAAGGGGCAGGGAGGCACCCTGAACTGCGCAAGTTCCAATTGCTTTTTCTAAACATCATCTACGTCCATCTGAGGCTATATACAGTCTCAGCACTTCTACTCAAGCAATTCATTCATAAAGGAGAAGCAAACAAAACTGCTCATCACACTTCGATCCAGTTACCCCAGAGGCTTTTAAACTGTTGGTTTTTTTTTTTGTTTGGAGTAGAAACACCTTCGCACGAACTCCGCCTTAAACTGGCTTTTCCTTGCGAACAGCTGAATTCATCCGAACTACACCTGCGCAGACCTACCCCCGAAGCCCTCCTGCCCACTGCAGCCGCAAACAGGGCTTGACCCCTGACCTCTGCACTCTCCACCCTGAAGTGACAGCGGCAGGTTGTGTGGATGTGAACGCACTAGGAGTACAGCAGGTGTCACACAGAGTGGCAACCCACCGGAAAAGGACACCAACAGCTGTGCAGAATGAATGGAGCAAGTTGGTCAAAATTAGCGGATAGCGCACACGATTCAACTGTCTCGTTTTATTCATATTTCATCACGCTCTGCTGTATTATTTGGGAACCATTGGAGAGGTTTCATTTCCGTTTTAATGACGCACATCTCCCGGTCTTGTGCCTCTGTCTCGGGCTATTCTTATGGTACCCCCCCCTCTTCAGGCGTGTCTCTGGTCCTCCACTGACCCCCTCTCTCAGGCTGTAACAGCTGGGATGCGAGACCACGGCCTCTATCAAAGGGGACCCGCAGCCTCCTTCCACGCCGCCCGCGGGAAAAGCCCAGACCTCCTCTTCCATCTTTTTACTGCCGCTTCAGAAGGCGGCCCCACTGACTTTGCGTTCGCTTCCAAAGCGAGTCACCGTTTAGAGCCCTTCGCCACTTGAACGACTTCTGGGCGCCGCAGACTCGAGCACTGCACAATTAAACACATCTCGCAATTTTTTGGGCCGAAAAATTAAAACATCGCTCCCCCCCACCCCCCGCACATACACTCACATTTAATAACGCGACACGGATTGAGCTCTAAACTTGTGCTCGCAAAATTTACGCATCCAGCCCAGTTAAAGCGATCAGTAAAGTCAATCTGAAATTCTCATATTGACTCGACGTTTCGATTGCGACGCAACATTAAAGTTGCATACAAAACGACACGCCTTACAGCTACGGGGGTACCATCCTAGACCGCAAGGTGTAAGAAAGGGCACTTTATTCAAAATAAAAGGTTAAGATGGAGCGCATTAAATCATTGCGGACTTACCGGTAGCCTCCCGGAGGTAGCTCTGATGGGCTTCGCTTCAGGCCCGTGGGGGGTCGAGTACAGACAGCTCGCCCTCTGATCCCCAGAAGCGGTGTTGCAGATCTGGCTGAGGTAGCCGGACGATAAAGAGTTGATCGGAGGACTCGACAGTTCAGTACCGAATAATTCGGTTCTTGCCCCGGCTAACACCTTCCTCGTCGACCCCGAAAAGCCAACTGCTCCCTTACCGGAAGCCGGAGAGACCCCTCTGGGTAACCGCATCATCTTTTATTCTGCTCTGCTAAAAATTCCCCACTCAAGTCTGCCACTCAATCGGGGGAAAAAAATAATAATGCGGTATATCCTTTTTGTGTGAACGACCGGCTTCCAGAAGCTTTAGCAGAAATGTGCATTCATAAAAACGATTAAATATTAAAAACAAAGCAGCTGACTGCTGCTCTTGCCGATTGTCGATAAACAATAGGTTAAAAGGCTAAAAATACGCAGAATACACACAAGTAATAAAGTCTTAAATAATCTATCTGTAGTAAACGCCACCTCTTTTAAGATTTCAGTATTTTTAAACTAATCTAAAACAAAATTGCTTCGTAGACCTAGATCTGGTTACTGCATCGAAAAGCAAGAGAATGAAAGTGGACTTCCAACTCTAATAGTGTCAAAAATCCAAAAAATACCACCTATCCCTTCCAATATAGGCATATCCAGATTCAGCAAAGTCTGCAGATTCACAATCCTGGATCAGAATCCCTAATACAAGTGTATTTTGTACAGGATGCTTCGGATTTTCATCGGAGTGCATGAACAGTCCTGCTGAATTCCTGCTATTTCAAAGTTACAACAGCTTCAACTCCCCAGCTGATCAGACCTGCAGTTTTAGCGCCAAAGTGCGTCCCGCGAAATTTGGATCTCCCGCGGCTGAAGCTCGGCTCTGATTGGTCACAATGCTGCCCGTTTGTTGGTTATTTGCATAGAACTGTTGGAGCGCGAGGGGAGGGTCCCTGTCTTTAAAGAGACAGAGGCCGATATTCTGGACTAAGCTTGAACTCTTTATTTACCTGCTGCATTTAAATTGCTTACAGGCAGCAACTCGAATCAGACATTTGGGGACCTGAAGAAATGCGCAGGATTGCATCGTATTCAGTAGAACTTTGTTAAGAAGCAGCTTGTGGGAGCTGCCTCCCATAAAAAAAAAATCCGATTATTTACCAACGTAATTCAGCCTGAATACCACCAGGAGGACTGTAATGTAAATATTCTTCAAGCCTCAGGGGAATCGTACATCCGGGGGTTGACACGAAAAACTGAACGCTTCGGATTTGTTTTTCTTTAAAGTGAATTTCAGGCTGAGCTCGCTTGTCGTGCGCCCCAACCTTTTCTGCTACCTGGCTTTCTGAACGCTTAGCCAAGCAACTGAGTGTGACCAGCTCTTTATATACATGATGTACACGTATTTATTTATATATTTACTTATATATTGCTGTGTGTAGAGTATACATTTTGCAGCAACTGAACGTTTAAGTCTTAATAATAATATTAGTATTAATAATAATGTCCTCTCCTCACTGTACCCACTAAATCACGGACTTTTGGCGACTGTTGGTTCTGTCGCTACTCCAGCGTTGTGGGATGACCTTCCTCAGACTCTATGAGACAACTTCTTTAACTCTCTTCAAATCTCAACTTAAAACTGACCTTTTTACCAAGGTCTGCGTCTGATTGCCTACATTTGTAAACACCTGTATTATTATTTTTATTCTTGATTTACTTTGTATTGTACTTTTTCGTCTTCTTATTAATGATGAACAGCGTCATTAGAAGGCATTTTATAAATAATACCTTTCAAAGTTGTTCGTACACAGAAAAAGACCCAAAAAGTACAATAAAAACTTTAAAAAAAATAAGAACACATGGTATCATATAGATAGAATATGGTGGATGCTGCACATTGGTGGTGGTGGAGGGGAGTCCCCATTACCTGTAAAGTGCTTTGAGTGGAGTGTCCAGAAAAGTGCTATATAAGTGTAAGTGTAAACAATTAATAAAGGTCAATCAAATAAAGGCTGTGGTGAAAAAAGTTAGTTTTGATTTTGGATTTGAAGAGAGTCTTGAGGAAGGGCTCTCCAAAACAT